AGGTCGTCATTTTACATGGTATCAATAAAGGCTGGTTTGCTATGTCGCCTCTAAATCTTATAATAACAATGTTACATTTGGCCACAGAAAGTAATTATTTTTAAATTTTCATCATCGCGCGCATTAATTTTCGCCTGATTTTGGAATAAAATGCCCTCTTACGATGGTCAGCATGCCGAAAATGAGCAAACATGCTGTAAATGATCCAGCAAACTTGAGGCAAAATGGTTTGCGTTTGCCTCAAGTTTCGCAAATGTTATTAATGACATGTTTCATCGCAATTAATCTAATCCAGTTTAGTAGCTGCCCAAGACGGTACGACTAGTTGTTTTGCTAGAATTTCTAGTTAATTGAAGTCTTTACACATCTTCAATGACAGGTAATACTGTGGAATACAAGAGTAAAATATCTGTTTGTTCGTGATGTCATATCATGTTTTGTCACCCCAATTCTTGTTTAACCAGGCTGATGACCTCAAAATTTGAATATGAAAGAATCTTGTTTTTTTTTTTGCCCGCCTGTTTTTTCCGACCTATCGCATTAAATTTGACCACATTAAAGTTAGCCCTCCTTTCGGCCTTCGATTCGCAACCTTCGATTGAGCCTTCGATTCGAATGGTAGGCACTATTTCGGATACGTCTCAGGCGCGGAAGCATTCTACTGTCCCACATATGCAAATGAGCACGCATACAGTATGTAAATAGACATTCCACGTACGTATGTCAAACCAAACCACAACCTTTCAGACTCTGTATTCATTTGATTAAATAATCGTCTAATTTTCAACAACCAAATGAGTCTTTGTAATCTTTAAGTGGTTAATACTATCGAATTAAATTAATTAAATCAACGCACATGGATTTATCTTCACGTCAAAGATTCAAGAATGCCGTCGAGAAGCGCACCCAACATGTTTCAATCCGACGCCTTCTTGCAAAGTATCGAAATAATTTTTAATAACGGAAAATCTTTTACAAATCTTTGAAAGGTTCAAACTATAAGATTCAACTAATAAAACTAACACACATTTTGTAGTTTTGACGCTATGACGTCATGGATTCAACCATACAGATTTGTAGGGCCTGAATCCCTGTTTATATAATGATATTCAACTACTCGTACCGAATTAACGAAATAATTTTTAGTTTTCAAATCACTTTTAACAATCTTTTAGAGGTCCATACCACTAAATAAAACTGATACAACTAACGCACATTGCGTCGTTTTGACGTCATGACGTCATAGATTAAATTATACGGATTTTCGAAATCGTCAATATCCTGTTATTACCGAGATGTATTTCTACGTTAAAGATACTAAAGAAGACAATTTCTGTCAAAACTGGATATACGATAACAATTTGTGTGTGACTCAGGACATGTATATGCTGAGCAGGATATGCTGAGCAGGACATGTATATCTAGGTGACAAATACGTCGAATCCTGCACAAAAGGCAATATATACTAAATATGGGCACTGTAAACGAAATTTATCTAGAACGACAGTCGTTAGTAGACGTCTGTTTGTCAACGTTTAAACGTTTATATCGTGGCCTCCCTTCTCATGCTCTTGCCACTATAGTTTAAAACTTTCTTTTGCTAGAAGTTGATATGAAACTATGTGTCATCTTACGTGTGCATGAAGGAACAGCATGACTCCATGTTCCGTCAGCTTGGCACGTCGGAGTAGCTTGGCCGTTCAGTGCGTATCCCGAGTTACAGCTGAAGGTGACCGAGTTCGGGTAGGAGACCGCTCCGGTAGGACTCACCGCTCCGTTAGCTGGGGCCGCCCGAGCCGGACATTGTACCGCTGCAATGGGAAGTGAGGAAAAACAAGCTTGGCAAATCTTGATATACAATTACAATATCTTGTGTATGACTTCTGCCAACTAGGATATATACATCTATGTGAGGAATCGATTTTTCTGGACAGAAACCTGGAGCAACCTATATACTAAATACAGGTAGGAGACGGTTGGTTACTGCATCGAGGAAGGAAAGGTCTTATTTGTCATTCTTCAACTTTCACAGCTTATGAATGCCTGTGCAATTTGGGGATAGGGCCACTGATCAAGCAAGACCATTGATCTGATGCAAAATATGCTGATACCAGTTAGGACAATTCCGGATCTGTTTTTTTAAACTTAGATCCGTACTTTATGGCCACGTACTAAATGTAGCATGTATAAACCTGCAGGTCGTTTTACCTTGGCATGTTGGAACAGGATGACTCCACGTTCCGTCAGCTTGGCACGTCGGAGTAGCTTGGCCGTTCAGCGTGTATCCCGAGTTGCAGGTGAAGGTGACCCCGTTCGGGTAGGAGACCGGTCCGGTAGGACTCACCGCTCCGTTAGCTGGGGCCGTCCGGGCCGGACATTGTACCGCTGAAAGGGAAGTAAGGAAAACAAAGCTTGGCAAAGCTTGAAATAAAATCACAATATCTTGAGTATGACTTCTGTCAACTCGAATATGTACCTCTAAGCGAGGAACTGATGTTTCTATACAGAAACTGTGTTCAGTGTGTATCCCGAGTTACAGGTGAAGGTGACCGAGTTCGGGTAGGAGACCGCTCCGGTAGGACTCACCGCTCCGTTAGCTGGGGCCGTCCGGGCCGGACATTGGACCGCTTCAATGGGAGGTGAGGAAAAAACAAGCTTGGCAAATCTTGATATAAAACCACAATATCTTGAGTATGACCTCTGCTAAGTACGATATGTACATCTAGATAGGAGAGATACAGATAGGAGACCGACTCCGGCATTAGTCACTGGTCTGTTAGCTGGGGCTGTCAGTGCCGGACATTGCAGGGAAACTCAAAAAGTTGCAGGGAAAAGTAGCACATTGGATTCCTTCTGCAGAGTACGGTATGTATATACTAGTACTGGTCATAAATCTATATTTCTTGGCAAAAAATTTGCAAATCGTGCCCTTAAGTCATACATGTCAGACCAGTTGCGTTCTACATGTAGTTCTGTCGGTGTGGCCATGAATTGCCACCGTGCATGATCACGTTGACATCACATCTAGGGAGGTGTTTGCACCGAGAAAACTTCCTAAAGTCCAATTGGAATCTGGCCGAAGAAAGTTTGCGTATAGGGGAGCATTTGCCTGGAACGGCCTACCTGCCACAGTTAGAGTGGCCACGTCTTACCTGCCGTTTAAGAAGGTTCTGAAACAACACTGCTGACCTCTGAGCTCCTGACCATGGCCTGGCTTAACAACATTGATTTACGGTTAACGATTCTGTTTTGACGCTTGGTTGTTTTGTAACTTTATTTATTGTTTAATGTGTTGGTTTCATTATTTTAATGTGTAACTTGTTGTCACAGGGTATTCCTGAAAAGCAGTGTTTTAAATAGCACTGAGGTCTCTACCCTGTTTAAATAAAACAGAAATAGATAAATAAACATACAAGAAGACAACCATGTGCTAGAGCCATTGCAGCAGAACAGTTGGTCACTGCATTGAGGAAAGAAAGGTCTTTGTCTTTCTTCAACCTTCACAGCTCATGAATGCCTGTGCATTTCGGGGATAGAGACACTTCCAATCTAGACCACGCATCCAATGCAAAATATGCTGATACCATTGAAGGTTGGAACACTGCCGGAACTGCTTTTTTTAAAAATCTGCATGTACTGACGGTAGTGTCACCTGCTTAATGTGCTACCATATATTAACTTGCTGGCGATCTTACCTTGGCATGTTGGAACAGGGGTACTCCACGTTCCGTCAGCTTGACATGTCGGAGTAGCAACGCCGTTCAGTGTGTATCCCGAGTTACAGGTGAAGGTGGCCCCGTTCGGGTAGGAGACCGCTCCGGTAGGAGTCACCGCTCCGTTAGCTGGGGCCGCTCGAGCCGGACATTGGACCGCTGCAGTGTGAAGTAAGGAAAAAAACAACCTTGGCAAAGCTTGATGCAAAATCACAACATCTTGTGTATGAGTTCTTCCAAGTACGATAAGTAACTCTATGTGAGGAATCGATATTTCTATACCTGGACCGGACTATATACTAAATACAGGTAGGAGACCCGTCCGGCAGGAGTCACTGCTCCGTTATAAGCTGGCTCCGTTAGCTCCGTCCGTACCTGACATTGGATCGCAGCAATAGGAAGTAATGAAAATTAAATAAAACAAGGTTGACAAAGCTAGATATAAAATCACAACATAAGGTATGACTTACGCCAAGTAAGACATGTACATCTATGTGAGCGAATGATATTTCTTAAGAGAAAACTGGAACGGCCTATGTACTAAATACAGGTAAGAGACCGCTTCGGCAGAGGTCGCTGCTCCGTTATTAGCTTGGCTGTCAGTGCCGGGCATTGGATCGCTGCAATGAAAAATAGAATCTTTTTTTGACAAAGCAGGGAATAGTACAATAGTATCACATTGCATTCCTCCTGCAGAGTGATCATAAATCGATATTTGTTGGCAACAAATGGCAAACCATGCCCTTAAGTCACACCGGTACATGTCAGAACAGTTGCGTTCTACATGTAGTTCTGTCAGACTGACCATAGAGCAGCAAGCATCGTGTAGCACGTTGTCACTAGCACTACATCTATGGAGGTGTTTGCACCTACAGAACACACCTTAAGACAACCAGGTGCTAGAGCCATCAGAGCAGAACAGTTGGTCTCTACACTGAGGGAGGAAAGGTCTTTGTCTTTGTTCTGCCCCTGGAATTCAGGATATGGTCACTTTCAAGCGAGACCACGCAGCCGATCGATAAGATGCTGATACCATTGAGAATTGAGACACTTCCGGACCTGTTATTTTAACTTAGTAAGTACTACCGGTAGTGCCGACCACCTATTAAATGTGGTAGCATATATAAACTTGCTGGCGATCTTACCTTGACATGTTGGAACAGGGGTACTCCACGTTGTGTCAGCTTGGCACGTCGGAGTAGCGACGCCGTTCAGTGTGTAACCCGAGTTACAGGTGAAGGTGACCGAGTTCGGGTAGGAGACCGCTCCGGTAGGACTCACCGCTCCGTTAGCTGGGGCCGCCCGAGCCGGACATTGGACCGCTGCAATGGGAAGTAAGGGGAAAAAGAAGCTTTGCAAAGCTTGAAATAAAACCACAATATCTTGGGTATGACTTCTGCTATGGTATGTACATCTAGGCGATCGAGGAAACATATTTCTATACAGAAACCTGGACCGGCCCTTTATACCAGATACAGGTATGAGACCGCTCCGGCAGAAGTCATCGGTCCGTTAACTGGCGCTGTTAGTGCCGAACATTTGATCGCTGCAATGGAAAGTATACAAAAAGGATTTTTTTTTGTCAAAGCAGGTAGTAGCACATTGAATTTCTTCTGCAGGGAATGAACATACGGATTATTAATTGATATTTGTGGACAAAAATGTGCAAACCACGCCCTTAAATCATACCAGTACATCAGTAAATCATATAGAACAGTTGCATTCTACGTACATGTAGTTCTATCAGATGAGGCATGGAGCAGTAATACTACCAAGCACCGTGTATCACGTTGTGATTGCATCTAGAGAGGTGTTTGCACCGACAGAACATACATGAAGACAACAATGTGCTAGAGCCATTCCAGCAGAACAGTTTGTCACTGGACTGAGGAAGGAAAGGTCTTTGTTCTGCTTGTACAATTTGAGGATAGGTTCACTTTTAAGCGAGACCACGCAGCCGATGAAAAAATATGATTAGTTGGATACCACTGAAAGTTGGGACACTTCCGGACCTGTTATTTTAAGTTAGGCCATGTTGATTTGATTATATGGATGGCATCCGCGCGCGCATGAATTTTCGTCCGTTTCCAAAAAAATTTCGACCATACTGTAAATCGTACAAAGTAGCTGTAATATGAGTAATATATGCCGAAAGTTAAAAAGAAATATCCGAAAACGACACTCATGTCGCAGAATGCCAAAATCCATTCCAAAGGTCAAGAAGAAAATGTTTAGGAATGAAAATGCAGTCTATTATTCACCATGCTAATAAAATATCACTCTGTGTGTTTAGTCATTCGTTCAACATTCATGACCACCTAGATTTCATAATGAAGGCAATTTTTTGCCAACCTTTTTTTATTCTCACACTTGCATCAGTTTTGGGGTTCCGAGAGGATGGTATCCATATAATCAAATCAACATGTCCTTAGCATTTACGACCGCCTACTAAATGTGCTAGCGTATATCAACTTGCCGGTGATCTTACCTTGGCATGTTGGAACAGGACTACTCCATGTTCCGTCAGCTCGGCACGTCGGAGTAGCGACGCCGTTCAGTGTGTAACCCGAGTTACAGCTGAAGGTGACCGAGTTCGGGTAGGAGACCGCTCCGGTAGGACTCACCGCTCCGTTAGCTGGGGCCGCCCGAGCCGGACATTGTACCGCTGTAATGGAAAGACAGAAACAACACTCTCCGTCAAACCTTGATATAAAATCACAATATCTTGTGTATGAGTAGGATATCTACATATAGGTGAGAACTATTTCTTTGCAGAAACCCGCACAACCAGGTCTATATACTAAAATATATTTATATACTATCTATTGAACGGCGGCCGTTAGTAGACGTCTGTTTGGTAACATTTGAACGTTGCAATTGGCTTACTTTCTCATCTTCTCACCGATATATATAGTGCGGGTGTGTAAAACTTGATTTTGCTAGCTATAATATATATAGAAGGTGCTTGTAACTATATGCGTCACATTACCTGTGCATGTGTGGACAGGATTACTCCACGTTCCGCCAGCTTGGCACGTCGAACCAGTAGCACCGTTCAGTGTGTATCCCGAGTTACAAGTGAAGGTAACCGAGTTCGGGTAGGAGACCGCTCCGGTAGGACTCACCGCTCCGTTAGCTGGGGCCGTCAGAGCCGGACATTGGACCGCTTCAATGGGAGGTGAGGAAAAAACAAGCTTGGCAAATCTTAACAAGTCTTAAGTTATCTACACTTTCCGATTCAACAAATAAAACTAACGCACATTGCGAAGTTTCGATGTCATGACGTCATAGATCCAACAATACAGGACTGCATTCGCATTGTATTAATATATATAATACTAGCATTTAACTCCTTCATGCAAAGTAACGAAATAACTTTAAGCACCCGAATGACTTGTATCAATCTGTAAGTAGTTTATACTATCTGATTCAATAAAAAACTCTAACGCACATTGCGAAGCTTCGACGTCATGACGTCATAGATTAATTAATAAAGATTTGCAGGACCGTAACCGCGATCTATTTTATTATGCTTAAGGCGATGTAGCAAAGTAATGAAATAATTTTCAAGAATTAAATTACTTTTAACAATTCTTAAGCGGTCCATACTATAAGATTCGGCTGAGAAAACTAACGCATATTGCGTCATCTTGACGTCATGACGTCATAGATTCAGATTTGCAGGACTGCAACCCTGGCATATTTTATGCCATTATACAACTTGTAGCAAATTAACTACATAATTTTCAGGTACCAAATGCCTTTCAATGAACCTTTAGTGGTCCATTTTATCAAATACTAATGATAAAGCTAACGCTCACTGCGAACCTTCGACATCATGACGTCATATATTCAACAATACAGCTTTCCAGGACCACAATCCTAGTGTAGAGAAGTAGAGATTAAACGTCCTGTAGCGAAGTAAGAAAATAATTTTCAAGAGCAAAATAAATTTCAGTAGTCCATACTATACGACTGAATTGATAAAATTAACGCCCATTAATTTATCATGACGTCATAGAAAAATATCACACACATTGCGTAGTTTTGACATCATGACGTCATAGATTCATAAATACAGATTTCCAGCACTGCAACCCTAGTGTAATTATTGATATCAAACATCATGTAGCAAAGTAAGGAAATAATTTTCAATAACCTGAAAATTATTTCGTTAATTAGGTACGAGTAGTTGAATATCATTATATAAACAGGGATTCTGGCCCTACAACTCTGTATGGTTGAATCTATGACGCCAAAGCGACGCAATGTGCGTTAGATTTATCAGTTTTATTTGATGAAATAGACCTCTAAAAGATTGCTAAAATTGATTTGAGAACTAAAAATTATTTCGTTAATTAGGTACGAGTAGTTGAAAATCATTATATAAACAGGGATTCTGGCCCAAAAAATCTGTATGGTTGAATCTATGACGTCATGACGTCCAAACGACGCAATGTGCGTTAGTTTTATCAGTTTTATTTGATGGTATGGACCTTTAAAAGATTGTTAAAGTTGATTTGAGAACTAAGAATTATTTCGTTAATTAGGTATGAGTAGTTGAATATCATTATATAAACAGGGATTCTGGACCTAGAAATCTGTTTGGTTGCTGAATCTATGACGTCATGACGTCCAAAAGACGCTATGTGCGTTAGTTTTATCAGTTTTATTTAGTGATATGGATCTCTAAACGACTGTTAAAATTGATTTGAGAACTAAAAATTATTTCGTTAATTCGGTACGAGTAGTTAAGTTAAATATTGAGTTGAATACTGAATATCGAATATCGAGTGTTGGATCTATGACGTCATGACATAAAATCTACGCAATGTGCGTTAGTTGTATCAATTTTATTTGGTGGTATGGACCTCTAAAAGATTGTTAAAATTGATTTGAGAACTAAAAGTTATTTCGTTAATTAGGTACGAGTAGTTGAATATCATACAAACAGGGATTCTGGCCCTAGAAATCTGTTTAGTTCAATTTATGACGTCATGACGTCCAAACGACGCAATGTGCGTTAAATGTATCAGTTTTATTTGATGGTATGGACCTTTAAAAGATTGTTAAAGTTGATTTGAAAACTAAGAATTATTTCGTTAATTAGCTACGAGTAGTTAAATATCATTATATAAACAGGGATTCTGGCCCTAGAAATATGTTTGGTTGAATCTATGACGTCATGACGTCAAACCGACGCAATGTGCGTTAGTTGTATCAGTTTTATTTGGTGGTATGGACCTCTTAAAGATTGTTAAAATTGATTTGAGAACTAAAAATTATTTCGTTAATTCGGTACGAGTAGTTGAAAATCATTATATAAACAGGGATTCAGGCCCTAGAAATCTGTATGGTTGAATCCATGACGTCATGACGTCCAAACGACGCAATGTGCGTTAGTTGTATCAGTTTTATTTGGTGGTATGGACCTCTTAAAGATTGTTAGAATTGATTTGAGAACTAAAAATTATTTCGTTAATTCGGTACGAGTAGTTGAAAATCATTAAATATTGAGTTGAATACTGAATATCGAATATCGAGTGTTGGATCTATGACGTCATGACGTAAAATCGACGCAATGTGCGTTAGTTGTATCAATTTTACTTGGTGGTATGGACCTCTAAAAGATTGTTAAAATTGATTTGAGAACTAAAAGTTATTTCGTTAATTAGGTACGAGTAGTTGAATATCATACAAACAGGGATTCTGGCCCTAGAAATCTGTTTAGTTCAATTTATTACGTCATGACGTCCAAACGACGCAATGTGCGTTAGACGTATCAGTTTTATTTGATGGTTTGGACCTTTAAAAGATTGTTAAAGTTGATTTGAAAACTAAGAATTATTTCGTTAATTAGCTACGAGTAGTTGAATATCATTATATAAACAGGGATTCTGGCCCTAGAAATCTGTTTGGTTGAATCTATGACGTCATGACGTCAAACCGACGCAATGTGCGTTAGTTTTATCAGTTTTATTTGATGGTATGGACCTTTAAAAGACTGTTAAAATTGATTTAAAAACTAAGAATTATTTCGTTAATTAGCTACGAGTAGTTGAATATAATTATATAAACAGGGATTCTGGCCCTAAAAATCTGTATGGTTAAATATATGACGTCATGACGTCCAAATGACGCAATGTACGTTGGTTTTATCAGTCGAATTTTGTGGTATGGACCTCTTGAGAATTTTTTAAAGACATTTGGTTTCTATAAATTATTCCGTTACTTTGCAATATGGCGTTAATTCTCTATGCATCCACTAGTGTTGCGATCCTCGAAAATCCGTATTGTTTAATCTACGACGTCATGACGTCTAAACTTCGTAATGTACGTTAGTTTTATCAGTTTTATCTGATGGTATAGACCGCTAAAAGATTGTTAAAAACATTTGAATACAGAAAATTATTTCGTTACTTTGCAAGAAGGCGTCTAATTGAAACATGTCGAGTGCGGTCCTGGACGGCATTCTTGAATCTTTGACGTGAAGATGAATCCATGTGCGTTGATTCATTTTGATAGTATCGACCACTTAAAGATTATTAAAACTCATTTGGTAGTTAAAGATTAGAAGATTATTTAATCAAATGAATACAGAGTCTGAAAGGTTGTGGTTTGGTTTGACATACGTATGTGCAATGTCTATTTACATACTGTATGCGTGCTCATTTGCATATATGGGACAGTAGAATGCTTCCGCGCCTGAGACGTATCCGAAATAGTGCCTACCATTCGAATCGAAGGCTCAATCGAAGGCTGGCGAATCGAAGGCCGAAAGGAGGGCTAACTTTAGGTTGGTCGTCTATAGGTGTGGACATGTCGCACACAAGATAGTACTCGTTTCCCAGCTGGTGTTCAAAGAGTATGTTTATTCGGAAAAATTATCTTCAGTTGCCATAACGTCGCCGATAACTTAGACCGATTTCTTCTTTTGGCGTCGAATAATTTCACCACTAGAAGACTCGAAAGTTCTGCCGAGGACGAGGCTGATGGCAAGTCGTTCAGTACAAGTTCAAAAGCAGCTAGCGCTTCTGAGGTAACTATGAGATTGCAAGATATTTGCAGATAAAGATGTCTATGTATAATGTCCTTGGTACTAGTAACTCCTGGCCGACTGACAACAAATTATTCAATTAACCCTTTTGGTCGATTTTCATTATTTCGTGTATGTTAACGTTGGACTCCGACTGTGCTGACACCTCTCAGTGGCTACTTTGCAAATTTGGCTGCGATCGATGCCAAAAAATGTTATTATTTTTTTACGCACATTTAAATGCATGAAATCTTTCTTGGCCACCACCATTCTCGGGTATAACTGGCGTTAATTTGATGAAAAAGCATAGGAAAAACGAAGTTTCTGCTACCAATATTGTACAGTCCCGGCAAATGAGTGACAGGTAGCTTTACTTTGATCACAATCGCTCCGTTTCCGTCAAGTAGAAATTCGAAAGAAAAACACCGTTTTCTTCAGCTGAATCGATCTTTCAAAAAAATCAGTCGGGTGTGGCGTGCGGGAGAAAAATCGCGCCAATTATCGCGTTTGTTCCAGAATTTGCACAGGGAGTGAGTCACAGCTAATGTTTTGATAGGCCATGACTAAACAAGCGGCTTTCTTTTTCCCTCCCTCACTGCGCCTACGGGCAGTTCAGTTCCTCTATTGATGGATCCAACATGGCGGCGGCGCGGGAAGCAGTGAGTCTTCAGACCAAACTAACGGACGATTTCCTGGTCTGTGCCATCTGTATGGACACGTTTGTCCGCCCGAAAGTGTTACCGTGCCAGCACAGGTTCTGTGCGGCGTGTCTGACGAGCTACGCCGCCGGGAGAAGCCAGTTTCCCTGCCCGTTGTGCCAGCAGTGGGTAGACCTGCCGTGGGGAGGGGTGGACGCTCTGCCCGTAGACTTCCTCGTCAACAGTCTCGTTGAGGCCGTTCGGTAAGTCCGCAGCCAGGCCGCCACGCTTTCTGGTGAAAATATACATCTAAAACTGTGAATTTTCCGTGTATTTTGAACGTTTCAACGGCAGATTTTGGCCCAAAATGAACTAAATTGTCCACATTTCTCAAACCAAATAGGCGCAGTTCCGGTTGTATAGTCTATTTAAACCCCCTAGTTAAATACCGGCTCCTTCGTGGCTGAAACATGTTCCCTATAATTCATACTCTTTATTCTTGTGTACCCTGTACAATTTTGATGTTCAAATCCTCAGAAAACGTGTAGAAATGTGTGAAAACGTGCCGGTTTTTGTCGGTTTCCTTCGGCCCTTGAAAAATCAATCTTGTTCAATGACACTTCCGCATACCCTGGGGCTGGCGGATTTGCATATGTTTATATTTCACCGGGTCATACCATTGGGTAAAATAGGGGACGTCAGGAAACATCCATTTGCTCACTATCTTCATTTTGTACTAAGATATGACAAAAAAGGAAAAGTCGTAAAATCATTTCTAATGTTTATCATGCAGTTGTTGATAGATACTATTTTGTTCGAGAAAAGATTGTCGCTCGCAATTTTTTTAATGTTTCAACAAGGCATTGGTTCCAGTAAGGACTGTTCCATTTATTGACAGGGCTGGGCTGGATATGTACAATACCTATATTTTCTTCAAATTAGGGGAGAGGGTGTAAAAGAAACGAGGTAGTTTATTGAAACCAAAAGGGTGCTGGGTTGGCAACTGTTTTACCTTTTTCCCATACAGTAATTCATCTTTATAAGGAAAAAACAATCTTAAGAGACCACCAAAAAGTGGCTGCAATGGTCATATAATCCTTTTGCAGAGATTAAAATTACTAGTATAAGGTAGTCACCAGTAAAGGTTTGACTGTATACATGTAATTGTAACAGTGGGGGGTTTATAGGCGCTACCAACTGATCTGTCTGACGGGTCTAGACCTTTTAGCTGATTCGGTAGGAGCGTCGGGTTGTAAGTTGGTGCCCGGGTTTGGCGTGGCTTCGATCTCCGGCCCGGGACCAGGAGTGTCTTTCTGTTTCTACTCTCTTAATTCTTACATAATTTATTCCTACGCATGATTCCTCTCCAGGGAATCTGAAGACGCGGAGTCTCGTAAGGGATGTGACGTCCACGGGGAGGCGGTGTCGCTCTACTGTCAGGACTGCGAGGCGGCCGTGTGTCCCACCTGTCTGGTGGAGGACCACAACGGACATACCATGGCCAAACTCACCGAGGTGGCCGAACAGAAACGTGCCAAGCTGAAGGCCTCCCTCAGCAGCATACAAGAGGAGTGTCAGGAGTGGAAAGCCTCAGGTAAAATCCCTAAATCACTTCTTACATTATTCAGAGAAAATATAATAAGCTGCATTTCAGATACCTGGCACAAAGCAGGTATGGTCTACAGAAAATGTACGTTGCAACAACAGTCTTACTCATGTGACAGAATGATCTAAGAGAATTGAATGGTTGATGACTAAACATGGCACAAACTCTTTGCACCTAGGGGAAAAGTACTGGAATGAGATTCAGGCAGGCCTGACTGCAGAGAAAGACCACGCAGCAAGGGACATCAACGCAGCAGCCAGGAGGATAATTGAACAGGTACAGCAAAGCTTCCCAAGCTAGCTTTCATACCGTTTCTATCTTATCATACGTAATTACCGTGACATTTAGGTTTACACCTGGTTGTGCTGTTTTTATTTAAGAATCTATAACGGTATCCATAGAACTTGTGTAACTTATGAACCAGTACTAAGAAACAAACAACTTGTACTATGAAAGTTTTAAACCATACATAGTAAATAGTTTTTCTAGAACCTCTGCTACATACTACAGTACTTGGGGGAAGGGTTAGATGAGTAACAGATATGGGAGAACTTGCTCAACTTTCTTCCTCATCCTCAGGTGACCCACGATAAGGAGGCCAGACTGCGAGAACTCCACACGACGTTCACCTCCCTCTCCGATGCCGTGGAGAAGAAGAAGCACCAGTTCCTCAACTCTTCCAAGCAGCGCGAAAAGACTCTAGACAGCATCGCCGATGACATCTCCAAGGGCCACGTGGTGGACCTGGTCCGACAGGAGGAGGAGGTTTATAGCAAAATTAACCAGCAGAAGAGGGAAGGCTTCCCCACGCTCCCGTGGAGTAACCCCAAACCTTCCATCCGATTCCAGCCCTTCCCTCCCCACCCGAACACTACCATGGTGGGGTATCTCTTCTCCATGAATCCGTGGCTGCAGAATCAGCAGCCGTTCGACTACAGTCAGCACCAGCACCAGCCAAGGTTCCCCACCAACCCTCTGAATGTTTCGTCCGCAAACGTGCTGCCGGTTCCCGGCCCGTCGTTTGCCGACCCCTTCTCAGGTTCACAGTCTTTGTTCTACTCAGGACAGCCTCATCAGCCGTTCCACGCGTTTCAAGAGCAATACGGCGCAGGCGGCTCCAGGTCCGCCTTCGTGCAATACCCGACAACACAGTCCCACTGATTCATGTGCATGGTAAAACACAATTCAACTTACACTGGTCACTTTTGATGTGGAAAGTCAATGAAAATTGCTTTGAATCTTTAAATGGTTTGTAAACCAATTTGACAATTGCATTGAATAAATTTGCTGTAATATGGACTATTAAGGGGAGAAAGTTGCCCCAAATTATTTGACCTGAATCCATCCAGTACACCAAGAAACAAGTTGATACTTAGGGCTTCAAACACAGTCCTTGAGGTTGGAAAAATGACTTTTCAAATCAGAAATGACCAATGTTGAATTGCCAGACATAGGCATTAAAGCAACCTTGTCTACAGGACAGGACAGAACAGTCTTCTCCCTCTTTGATACAAGTTACTGTTTATCCAATTATTTACCTCTAGTATATAGACTATCATGGAGTTGATATTGTTATGAAAGTTGATCTGTGTTGATAGTTAACATTATTGATAATAGACAGCAGAACTTTGTTCCAACACATAAAATACAATCATAGGACTTGGAAAAAGGCTGTAGTAGGTCAGCCAAAGAATTGGTGCAAGTATTTTAATGTGTTGGAAGTTCAGCTATTTACTGAGTTGTTCTTGTGTTTGTATGGATTTTATGAACGTTTTGAAAAGAGAATAACCTTAGGTATTAAGTTAGAGGTTCAGGCCAGGTGATCGCAGCACTGAAACTGAAGCAATCCAGGTGTACTGAATTTTGCATACCAAAGTTATAGCAATATTGCAGGTAGGCGCACCTGCCGGCTCAGGTGTTTTGCCACCTGCTGAGCAATTGTCTTTGATGTCTTTTCTTCTTATACTTTTTATGGATAAGACCAGAAGTGCTTTTTTTATTTGTTATGAAAATCCAACACCTTTCTATAACCTCAAGTGCTTTTGTTTGTAAGAAAAGAAGCAAAAATTGCTGTTGGTGCAAAAGTTAGCTCATCCACTGTTAGGCCACACCAATGTTATTCATTAGTTAGTCGTTTTTTTCCAAGGTATCTTCAATAACAGTAATGTGTGAATGGATAAAGCCATTGTGAGAATGAATTGAACTTCCCAAAAAATGTCACTAACACTTTTAAAATCACTGAATCTTAACATGGTAAGTTTATCATTTGAGAACAACATGTAAAAGAACAAAGTTTAATGTTAAAGAACCACTACACAAACTAAAAGAGGCAAAAATTATGGTACATCAAAGTTCTGTTCAGAGGTGGCGAGTTTTGCCACTGATAATTATCTGTGACACAATTCAAATTCAGATTAAGGTTATATGCTTCAATTGCCTGTTAACTTTGAGAATCAATTAGTACATTGGTGTGGCCCCCAACCTCTCTTGAGGTTGTATTTACACTTCAAATGTTTTGGTCAGCAGATCCTAAATTGTGCAGTCAAATCTAACAATCTGTTGGAAAATGGTCACAATTACAGGAGATCTTGGGAAAAAATAACCTAGGGACCATTCTAATCCAGTGGTCTATATGAAACAGTGGTCAGACAGTTTTGGTATGACTGTATATGTACTGCTATTTCCTGATGTGTCCTGTTGTATAGGAATTTTAAGTATTTGACGTAACATTGTCTAATAATGTGGCAATAGTCTAAGTTGTAGTTTTCTTTCCAAGGTAATGGCTGTTGAATTCAATGCCTTCATTTAGACTTGATTGCCATAAAGCTAGCTATCTCTGCATTTTAATCATGAATGTTCAGAGATTTTTTTAGCTTTTGCATGTTTTTATAGATCTTATAAACTGTACATAGTGTCATATGAGAGACTTGTAGTCACACAAAGTTGTATGTTAGTGTATGTTACTGTCACAGTGGTAAAGTGCTCTGTTCCCGTGTACCAAAATGAGAGACTATACAAATGTTGTATTACAAATTAATTACAAATGTCTTTTTATTATTCCAACATAAAGATATCTTCATAATACTATTACAGATAAACACATACCATACACCCTCACTAAAATCAAAACTGTCAATATATACCTTTGGTGACTAGCTTACTGATATTGTGTGTCTTGAATGATCTTAATTGTACAAAATGTACTTCATGCAGAATCCTACATGTACATGCATAGAATGATTGTTGAGATAGTAATAATTGTTTTATGTTACATAAAATTTGATAATAGCACAACTTACCAACATCAAGTTCTTAGTAGACTTTCTTGCATTCAAGTGTAAATTGTAATTATATTTCCATGCTTTGCATGTTGCAATTTTCTTGGTAAATAACCTCAGTTATGGGAACCAGCCCTTGTTGCATCAGTTTGCGTCAAATATCCATGCCTTTAATATTTTGATATATATGACTGTAAAACTCTGATTATAATTGTCAGAACAAGGCATGGTGGTTAGGGGTGGGAGGGGTTCTACAAAATTTCAGTACAGCAATTTAATTTTTTTTAGTTAACAATTACCTTTTCCCTGTTTTAAACTTATAACATTCTTGTGCAGATATTTTTTTCTCACAATACCCTGATGCAGATACTTGTATTTTTAATTTCTTACCCTCCTACTGTTTCTCATCACTCCTTACCACTAACATTTATACTAACACAACTATCAAAATCTAGAATCATGCTTTGTACAAGGTCAGATTCTTGTATTTTCAATTTTGAGAAAATTCCTTGGCTTTCACATAATTTTGGTTCATTCAAACACACAAGTTACATGTAGGTTGATTCAAACACACAATCAGTTTAATTGCAACTGCAAGTAGCAACATGACATTGTCACATTGTTAGAAACTTGCAAGTTTCTAACTTGCATAGTTGCAAAGGCACTTCTTTCAAAGTTCCATTAAAGCAGTAAAATATTGGATATCTATCTATCGTGTATTTGCAATTGAGTTTTAGGAATTTGGAATTTCATATCACTTAATATTCCTTTTGTACAAATTCTCGATTATATTTCACAGTCTTTATTATTGTTTGAAATTTACAATACACAATGTACATGAACTTGAGTCAATCAAGAATTGGAATGGATAAAACGATTTTGAAAGATCATAAAATGGACCATGTTATCATGATCGTAATAATTGTTTCTCCATGTTTTCTATACATTGTTTTATTAGGCATATTTCATTTACCACGTTTTGAGATAAGATTGAATGACGAGCAGTTGAAAGTTGTAAAACGTAGTTGAAGTACTAAAGCATAATCTGCAGTGTGGAATGAGTGGTTTTAGAGATTGTTTCATATTGTAGGTTCATCAGTATTGTTACAAAGAAGTAAAATTCATTCTCTTATAAAATAATTTTCAACACCATGTTTGTAAAATGAGTTCTGACAAATATAAGCTCTGCAAATATTTACTTACCGGTAATTCCAACATTAACCTATTATATAGTAATGGTAAGCTAAAATCATTTTACAATAATCTTTTCTGTATTTTCAATGCTGTAGAGTGTTACAACACAGTAGCATTCATCATGGCAGCCACCCACCTGTAAAAACAAAGAAATAACTGTAACAGTTGCAATTAATCATCAGTTTTGCTTCTTTTCTACAGTATGTCTGATTGTTCTAGGTAATGACATATTTTCATGGTGTGTCAACATGAAAATGGATTAGTCACAACTGCTGTTTCTTATCTGATTTCAGGGAATATACATTACCAGTGCCTTTGTTATTTTCATTAATTAGTAAAGAACCATAAAAGACTACAGTAATTGTACCCTGTATGAATGCATGATCCAATTTCTTTTTTGAAATAATAACTTTAGATGCATTGCAATCTGTGTGTGCTAGTCTTTATTACAATAATTGTTTTTGATTAGGACTTAACATTTTATGGATGTGATGTGACTGTACTGTGTTAGGAAGTGTGTATTGAGGTTGATATCATTGGTGATGTACACCTTTCAAACAAACTCATAGACCAGAGCATTACAGATGGAGTTTTTGGGATGTTCTGTATTAGCAAATTGAAGAAATGTGTTAGAGAGAAACTGTTCTACATTTAACTAGGGGCATGTACCATATTATGATAATATCTCAGGTTGTATCATTCCAATCAAATATCTAGAATTTAATACTCTAATAATACAAGAAAGAAGAATTTGTGCAAAAAAATAATTTTTGTTTGATAGTTTGTGCAGCACATTTTTTCTTAAGCTTCCCTCCCACTAGCCTTTCTGGTCTGCCCAACATATATGTAGTACTATGTAAGCACAACAGAAAGAACATTTCTCAAAATTTACATGTACATATAAGGAACAAACTCAGACTTTGTTTCTTCCATCTTGTTTTTCAAATAAAGGAGATCATCTGGTCTGTCCAGCATACATATATTTCAGACCAACAGATGAAGCTAACCTTACATGTAGATATGGAGAAAACAGTGACTTTGTTACATCTTGGAATTGACTTTGCAAATAAAGAAGGTTTCTCACTTCTTACTGGCTGCCTTGTCATCAGTGCGGAAGTAGACATCAGGACGACCCTGGTGGGCCAACTTGAAGATCTGGTCTGGGGGGGTGTCTTCTTGGGCCTGGAGGGAGGGGTGGTGAGAAAGAGATTGAAAAAACTGTAAATCCCACAGAATAGAACACTTGCCTTTTTATGTAGCTTACAATCATTTACTTGTTCTCTACTTCATTTTCTGAAGAAAATACATTTAATGCGTACCTCTGTGAATGTGGTGACGGTGAAGCCCAGGAGAGGAAGGCTCTCTAGCGCAGCCACGTCCTCGCTGGCCTTGTAGGTGTACAGGACCTTGTCTTTCAGCACAAACCACAGCTTCCTCCAGCCCTCACGCTTTGTCTTCCTCTGCAGGTAACCACTCATGTCTGAGTTCACATTGTTGGCTGTCACCTGGAAAATACAGCTTATGGTCAGGGAACAGAGGAAAAATCACAGCTTTCCCCCCTCTTTTTGTCTTCCTTTGCTCATGTTCAGGTTGTTAGCTCTCACTTGAATAAAATCTATGCATGTTTTTCAAATAAAACATCACCAAAGAAGGAAAACCTGGAGGCAGGAAAATAATGACACATTTTGATGTACTATATGGATGTGGACAGATGGCGAGAAACCTCTCTTTGCAATTTTCCATTTCACAATGGTAATACCTGGATCCAAACCTACATCACAATTTAATGTTTGTTTCTTCACCTATCTATTTTTTCGTTTATTCACTTAGTGGTGTGATAAATATGCTGAGTGGCTATTAACATCCATATATACATGTACATATATTCACCTCTTTCAACACAGATGGGATGGACTTCTTTGCTTTTCTTGCTGTTTTCTTGAAGCTCTTGAAGCGGGCTTGGATTGTTGCTCGACTCAACCTAAACCCTCCCCTCTGCTTGTCTGCACTTGTTTTCTCAGGACTGCCAGCTGCACTGCTTCCGTCATCATGAGCCTGAAACTCTAGGCAATCAAAGACAGGGAGAAACGTTTGTCAGGGTTGGTCTGTTGCAAGTCTTTGTCTTTTCTCAGTGGCAAGTAAGTCCATTGCACATCAAGAACAACAACTAAATGTATTCAGCAAACATTGGTTTGCTAGAGTGAGTCAATGTTTGCTAGAGTCAAACTAAACCAGATTAGTGCTATTATAAAAAAGAAAAACTTCCTTGCAGCAATGGAGAGATATAACAAATGGAGGTTTACCTTTGGAGAGAGTTTCGTAGCACTCTTCGCAGACCCTGACTGCCTTGTAGTCCAGGTACTGCAGCGGAGCCCGGTTAGCTGAACAGGTGCCACAGACAACCTGCAATCAACAACCAATCAATCAGCCAATGGACCATGTACACAACTGACTAGACAGACCTGTGAAATAAAGCATTGTGTACACAAATTTTCAAATGCCTAACACTGGAATTTTGACTTTAATATTGAAAAAAAAAAAACAGCATAGTAAGTTGCAGGAAATGATAGATTCAAATACTGAAGCAACCACTGTAAGTTACATTCACTTGATGTGTAGCTCTACAGATCTTATAGACAGCCAACCTTTCCACAAGCCCTGCAGTGATGTCTCCTCCAGGTGACAGTAAAGTCACAGGTACAGCCCATACACATGGTCACCCTGGAGTCAGGGATCCACACTGGAGCCTTGTACCCCAGCACCAGGGAGTTGGACTTGTCTCCGGGCTGAAGAGGAATGAAGAAGGATATACATGTACTGAAGACTGAGTGCATTACTGCAGTCAATTCTGTAAAACTCATGATTGAATTTTGCACATGTAGATGAGGGGTAATACTTACCACAGCATCTACATGTCTCACAAACTCATCAAAGGTGCTCCTCTTGGCAGCGTTGTCTCGGATGGCATCAGTCAGGGCCTGCATCCAATCATCTCTCTCCTCAGGAGAGCTGGGACCAATGAGGGGAGAAAGTGAAGAGTCCAATAAGAAGACAATGATGTTTCAGTGGTATGAATCCATCATTCACATGGCTTGGTATGACTTAAGCCTATTTACCGCATAGTTTTTCAGAAGGCTTGTAGTTGGATGTCATTTATCCAATCATTGCTCTGCTCAGAAAAGCTTAAAACAGGAGTGGTTACTAGTAGCAACACCACAGGAAACCTTTCATTTATATCTCTCATTTGCACCTTTTGTGAAGGATTCCCCACAGCCGCTCAACTTACAACAATCTGTTACCCAGAGCATTTAATGAACTGTCACATAAGAGGAACATTTCTTACACCAGGTGATAGATGAAGAAGCAGTACTTACCTAGCTGATAGAGTGAAGGACCTCTGCACACTGATGATGCTGAGCTCATTGAGGAAGTCCTGCACAGGTTTCATCACCTTCATGCCTGCCAGCTGCAGCATGTTGTTCAGTTTGTACATTCCACCTTGGATGGGAGTACAGTACAGTAGGGCATCGCTCATCTGTGGCAAAATTTAAAAAAAAATCATATAACTCAATATATAAAAAGGCCATTAACCAATCATGCAACGATGGAACAAGGTGGACTAGTTGGAAGGTTAGTGGATGTGCACCATGTAAACTGACTTGTTTCCATACTGGTTGATAAAGGACATACCAGAAAGAACATCCTTGGCTGCATCTCCTTCCTGGACAGTTTCTTCAGCATCCCTTCCTTCAGCAGTTTCTATGGGAACAGATGGGTGTGAGCAACATTTTTCTTCTTTAACTTCTTAGTCCAAGCAAGACATGTCAAGTCTTATGAAGTTATGACTGCAGACAACCAAAACCTACAACAAATTACTAGTATAATGTACATGACACATTGTGTAGTTGATGAATGAGATGAATAGTAAAACCATCTTACCCTGCCTGGCTTGACGATCTCATGCTGGCCAATCAGGCTGTGCTGGATCCGGAGCAGCTTCTCAAAGTTGTCCTGCATGGGGGATATGATTGAATATGTGTACTGTACCAGAGTGCAAAGCGCTAAAATCTAACTGACAAAATCTGATCCTACATTGTTTCAAGTACAAATTGTACATGACACAAAATGACTTTCAAAATTGATAATATAATCAACATATCTGCCACATGCAATGAATGCTTTCTTTCATATTTCAATTCCCTTGTTGTCAGTGTGTTAAACTCACCCCTTGTTTCATGCCTTCATTAGCATGGTCAGCTACCTCACTAACTATGGATAAGGCCACTGGAATAAAGAAAAAAGTCTGGTCAAAATACTGGTATGCATTTGTATGGCATGTGTTAAGACTATAGATTATTATTCAGGGTTCTCGATCAAAGATGCAAAATAATGCAAATCAACAAAACTTGATGAATAAATGCACCTGATTTTTATTAATAAAGTACACATCAAAGAATTACAGAAATCCTACCTTTTGTATCCTTGTAGTCAGGAGACTCTTCTGTCAAGTGCTTGAGATAATCTGAAAAAAAAAACAGTTCCCAACTCTTACCTTCAAGTTTCATGGGTTCTTCAATGTGCTTGAGTAATTATCATACTTAAACTTTTTAAAAAATTGTGGTGTGAAAGTGATATTGCACCAGTTTAGCTTAACAGAGAAGACAGATGCTTTATAAAGTATTACAAGGTTCATTGTACTGGATAAAGTTGCCTATAGCTCTCTTTCAACAAATAACTTGAACAGTGAAGTATGTCCTAACTCCTAATGCCCTTTCCTAATGACTATGACCCTTTTCAGCAACATGCAACAACAGCAGGGATTCAAACTCATAACCTCTTGGTTCAGACGTGGGGTCCCTGACTACTTTGAAGTAATAAGAAATGATAATGTAGAGTTACCATCCAGGAGCAGCTTGTACTGAGGGATCCTCTGGACGGGCTTCAGCATGTAGTGTTTCACTGCCAGGTTTGCACATCTGGGGCTCATCTGGAATATTTCGATATGCTCTATCATTTTCTATTCCAAGGTTTCTCTCAATGTGTTGAATAGCAAATTCAAGTGCATATTCAATACATGTAAAAACACCTGTATTACAATGAAGTGGGAGTTCAGAGAACCAAGAAATAGAATTGGTGTGGCTTTACCTGGAATTCCTTGACAGTTGCAGCAAATTTGGGCAGACGTCTACAGGCCTCGTCCAGGGCAGAGGTGGACTTCTCAAAGTCCTTGATGTAGGTGGTGTACAGCTTCAGGTACGGACCCTTCTTCACTATCACATCTGCAATACGTGGATCCTGCTCCCTGTACGAGTTGGTAAGGAAGAAAATGTTATATGCTAAAACAAACTCTTTTTCTTGGCTTGACTTCACTGTCGAAGATTAAGGGCCTACAACAAACTACAGGTAAGCAACAGCACTAAAACATTCAATGAAATCTGATTACATGTCTACTACATATAGGTGCACCAGTATGGTAGGCTACTATGATGCCATCATGAAAACCTTTGGATTGAAATGAACATAAGAGACCACGTGAGTGTGTTCTGTACCAGTTTGCCACTCTATCCTTGAAGTCCTTGAGAAGACTTTCGTTGAACTGCTGAAGTTGTGGAAGGTAGAGCAGAATCTGGGTCATGCTGGCCTCGTCAATTATGGCCTGACCCGACGCCTCACCTGCTGCAGCCACTACTGCTCTGAAGTCCTGGGGTGGAAAACAACACGTCAAACATGTACTAAATTGTTACCACCTACATTTGTGTCAATGGGAAAAACTTATCTGAGTGACCACAAAAAACTTGCCACAATGACCAACTTTTGTAGTGGTAGTCACTTGTAATGTGTACAATCTGACTGATATATACTATACCAAATCTACCAATGTCTTTTACCCATGTGATTGTTGTTCAGCACCAAGGACAGGACAAATATTTTTGTTGTGAAGTGTTGGATTACATGCTTACCTCATTCAAGAGCTTTAAAACATCCACAAACCTGCAAGGAGAAAAGTGATCTTTTTCAGAACTCTTCATAAAACAACCAGACTTCCTTAAGAATATTTGAAAATTATGAATGAAAATGTTAAGGCTGGGAAAAAGAGTTTTCCAACTTTGTTCTGGAATGTATTCGGAAAATCATCTAAAAACCAAGTCAGTATACTCACACTTCTTCTGATGACATGATCTCATGGGCAATGTAGAAAGCCTTGTCCCCCTTCAGTGCTGGCGGCTGAAAGTGAACAGAGGTTATTCTGAACTAGCAAATATTAGAGGCTTCACATGCTTTCAAACTTGCCCACTCTGTCCTGTCTTTTAGAACCAAGATGAAAGGACAAGTAGCCAAAATAGCAGTACCCTGGCTTAAGAACTGTAGAGTCCATTAGCCTAAAAAAATTAAGTACAATGATTTGGCTACCCTGGAGGCCTGGGCTGATATTCTCCAAACACCCAACCAATTTAGAGCTGGAGAGAGTGCTGTATTACTAGTAGTCTCACCTTAAAAGGGAAAATTTCATGTAAATGTATGTCAAGACATGGTGATTTTTCAGTTTGAATCTTACAAAGCCACAGAAAAGGAATCACAGGAAGTAAAGACATGGACAAACAGTAAAACAGTAAAGAGCCAACATATTCATACAAAGTCAAGAATCATTTATTACTGATAGATTGTAAATCACATCCGTTAATGTACTGTTCAAGATCATTCAGATTAACAAAATGTAGGAACAAGTGAAGATTTAGAAAAACACTTGAAGAGCAAAGCATCGTTGACTGACACAGAAGATTTAAAATCATGACAGGAAAGTGAGGAATCCGATATATATCCAATACTTCACATTAATGTGCCATCAAATTAAGTACATGATTTGCTAATTAACATTAAGGACAGTTTTAGACAAATCAAGGATTTCTACAAATGTTAAGCTGTAGACTATCTAAATCCTGCGTCTTCTAAATTTCAAATCCATAGTTATTACATATTACAAAAGCACTAAAGGTAAATATGATAACTAAAGGGGAGGAGGAGTAAAATTAAAATTGAAATCTATGGAAATGATCAGATTGGTTTTTAAGTCATCAATCAGGAGTAGCATTCCACCACCAGCACAAAAATGCCTGAAAACACAAACAAACCAAAGTCTGAAAATTAGTACAAAAAGGCCAGACTTAGGGAATAAGCACAAGAAGGGAGGCAGGCCGCACCTTTGCTAGGAGGCAGTTAGGCACCTACTTCTAAAATATACAATTTGGTTATGCTTTATACACCCTCCTTACAAGCAAATACTTGGTTAGGTTTTCTTTTGTTAATTGTAGCATACCAAAGATTTTCTCAGTGTACTATGTGTTACCATATTGCACTATTGGTTAACCTCTTTGCAATTGAAATTATAATAGACAATACATCAAATTGAATCAACATACATTTCACTCTATCATTGACAGAGTCTACTGAAACTCGTATAGAGTAGTTTTGGTTACTTATCATATTGCAGGTCAATGTATCAAAAAGGTTAAGGCAAGAATATATAATATCATGGCTTGGTCCTATGTACATATAGAATAAATACAATATATCTATAGATACAACAGTTATAAGAACATGTCACCAGGCAAAAGTGGTCACAACTTGACTGCAACACTGATGCATCTTTATCAACAATGCTTTCCTGAGCATATTTGTCCTTGTATGTAAAGTGACATTTGTGAAGGTATCAAAATGGAGCCTTCATATCTGCTTGGAGCATCTTACATGACATGACTCTTAAAATAACAACTCTATTTACCCAGGTACGCATCCCAGTAGGCAAGCTCTTAGTATTTCCTTGTTCATTAAATATAAGGGACAACATACACTTCACCTCTCCATAAGTGTTGCAACAATAATCTTCCATTTTGATCTCATAGTTGATGATAGGAGTTTTATAATGTTTATAGTAGGTGTGTACCTATGGATTTCCTAAAAAGAGGGTGTTTTAATCAAATCCTTTTACAGTTTCATCACCCATTTCTCAATCCAATCCTGTTTCTCTGCCTTAAGCCTAGATTTCTCCCTCCTACGCATAAGTGCCTCCTGCCTCTCTTCCATGTCGCGACTGGACGACGGCAGGGTCAATGACCTTTCCCGCGCCCCCTCGACCGCTCCGCGACCGTAGGGAGAAAGAGTTCGAGACCTCCGTGCGGACAGAGGCGGTGGTGGCGGGGCAGGCCTACTTGGTCTGGAGGGGGTGACTTTTCCTGAGGGGCTGGCTGAGGCCATAGGGAGAGGTGAGTGAGAAGACTGGACCTGCTTTGATAGAGAGAGAGGAGGAAGGTAGAGATCAGTTTAGATGGACAGTCAACAGTGACACTTTCAAAGTCAAGACATAGGACTAGTAAGGGACAAGTTCCGTTGTACCTTGAGGTGAGTGTATGCTACACTCCAACACAGGTTAGCTTTCTTGCAGTTGTGTTTAATGTTAACTGTCTACGTCTGAGTCAGAAGCATGCATACCTTATAGACCACCCATCACACCTCCCTCCAACAGTACCAAACAGCCTTACTATGTCTGCCTTGCTCCCTTCATCCTGCCCTTCCTCCTCATCTGAAGACGAGTCTTCCTCCTCCTCCTCAGAGCTGTCAGCCTCCTCCCTGGCCTCTGCTGACCCAGACTCTTCTGAGTTGGAACTGGCCTCACTCACACCTGATAGCCTGGCCTGAGGACCAGAGACACAAAATGGATCAGCCCAAACACAAAGACATTGATAAGTAATACATGATGTAGACACTTAAAATTAGAAGTAGTAACTTGAACTGTAAGTAGTCGAGCAACTAGAGGAAAGCTGTACAATTGTGAATGAATGTTGAGGTGTGCAAATGTTGTAATTGAGGGACAGTTGTACATACATGAAATATGAAAGGTAAGTCTTCACAAACTTAATCATGAGCTCGAGATAGGTTAGTAAAAATTTTTATCTGGCAGCAATATCTAGAAGGCCCTCTACCTAATTATTCAAAACACATCTTAAAGTTTGTGAAAGAAATTCATATGAAGAGACATACCTGGTCAGTGCCCACCGTCTGGTCATCCTCTGGGCTAATAGTTTCTGAATCTTTTCTTGGCAGGGGCGCTGGTGGGCGGTCCTCAGGAATGCCCACACATCCTGGTGACCTGGGGGGCTTGGGTGGGGGTGTAGCTGATAGTCTCAGTGGAGAAGGGCTTGTAGTGGGCTTGGGAGGGGGTGGTCTTGGTGGTCTGGTTTTCTTAGGAGCAGTTTTTGTTTCAGTCTTTATGTCGTCGGCAACAGGGGAATAGTAGTGAGTCGTCTTGTCTTTTTGAGGCATTTTAACTGCAGGGATTACAGGTTCATGGTACTCGTGGTCATCCACTTTGGGGATGGTAGGGTTCGCGTAAGGCTCTGGTTCAGCATAGTCACTACTGTCATCAGTATGCTGGGGGTCTGCGTAGTCATACGTGTGGTCAGTCTTCACATCTTGTTCCTCTGGTCTTTCCTTAGGCATGGAGTAGTAGTGATCTTCTTCATCTTGTTTTCTTGTTTTTCCTCCCTTTTGGAAGAGGCAGCACCCATTTCTTCATATGCATCACTCTCTGATGTGTCATCCCTGTCCCCAGCAGTTTCATTCTTGTACAGATCACCTTCCTGGTTCATGTACAAGTTGTCTGTGCTGTCAGCCTGGTTCTGGTAGAGATTTTCCCCACTGTTCGCTTTCACACTTGTGTCCATGTCCATGTATTCTGCATCCACGTCAGGCCCGATATCTTCAGCACTACCGCCACTGATGTTCATATCTACATAACTTCCTCTACTATTTCTTGCACTGCTTTCTTTTGAGTTATTTTCTGGAGGGGTTGGTTGAGATGGTGTTTTGGGCATAGTAGGTTTTAGTGTTGCAGAAGGTGGTTTGGGAGGTGGGGAGGTTGGAGGGGGTATCCGATGCTGAGAGGGACTCGACTGTGTATTTGCCTCTGAAGATGTTTCTTCTGTGGGAGGAGGGATGTAGAATGTGGACTTGGGTACCACTTTCTTCCTGTCCTCTTCTCCCTTGCTCTTGCTACGACTGAGCTTTCTTTTGATGAAGCTGTCCCTCTTTGGCTCTGATGATAGTGTGCTGTCTGGGTTTGGGCTGCTTTTCTTCATTGTTAGCTTTTCCTTCAGGTTTTCAAATGGCGCTGGCAGTGACGGTGATCTCTCTTTCGAAGAAGACTTTTCGTCAGGCATGCTACCACCTGATGATGACAATCTTTCCTTCGAAGGAGACTTATCTTCAGATGTGCTTTCAGAAGGAGCTGCAGGAGTTGTGATACCAGTTTCAGGTGTCTCAGCTGAAGTTGATGCTACAAATGGTGGAGGTCTAGGTGGAGCGGGAGCTTTCCTGCTTGGTCTAGCTGGCTTTATGGCTGGCGATCCTACATGTGTACCTTTTTCTTTGTCTGTGTGCTCCTCATCTTCGGGAGAAGTCTCGGGTGGGGGAGGAATGTGCAAGACAGGTTTATCTGTCCTCTTGCTGTCAGCATCCTTACTTTTGTTGGGAGACTTCTCAAAGAAACTCCTTATTCCTGAAGCTATTGTTGAAGAAAAGTGAGTTTTCTTAGGCCCCTTCTTGGCAGTGCCTGGAACAGGTGAGCTATCAAGCTCTGAATTTGGAAGAAAGACTTCTTCCGAGGAGCTTTCAGGTCTCTTAGGTGCAGACTTTGTCCTACCTACAGGTGAAGGATGCATTCTATCTGACATGGAGTCAACAGAGGTGCTTTTCTGCACTGCAGGCTTTGGTGGCGTTGGATCTGATGGTACACTTTCCAGTGGCTTACTTTGGTCAAGTGTACTGGAGTGTAACACATTACCTGCAGAAACTGCCTTCTGTTTGAGAAATGGAGGAGGAGGAGGCCTTCTTGGTGGTTTCACCATTCTGCTGCCTTCTCTCTCCTTAGGTTTGACATCGGCAGTTTCTTTTCCCTTGTCTCCTTCCTCCTTAACTACATCTACAGCCTTAACAGATCTCCTTGGAGCAGGGACTGGTCTTGGTCTCTCTTGTACTCTTTTCTTGAAGTCTGATCTAGTTGGAGTCACATCATCTAAGGAGTCAAAAGACCTACTTCTAGCTATCAACGTAGTACGAGCTGGACTTGCGTTAGGTGTGTCAACACTGCGTAGCCTTTGTGGCTTGTAAGGTACGGCAGGAGGAGGGCCTCTGTCCAAGGGTGACAAGTTATCTGTAGAATCACTGTGGAATAATTTCTCTGCATCAGCTTTATCAAGAAGACTGTTGAGGGAGCGACTTCTCCTCTTCAGGGGACAGGGTGGAGCTGCTGGTTTGTTCAGCCTACGTCTTATGTTTGCCTTCAAGTCACCACCATTTTGAGGAGAAAACATATGATGTCCTTCCTTCTTTGATGTTACTGCCTCATGTATTTGATTCTCATGATCACCTAATGATGACCCTGAAACGAAAGTGAGATTTCTTGGAGACGAGGCCTCATTTACTACCACTGATGGCTTTTGGCTTGGTGGAGGAGGGGGAGGCGGTTTAGTTGGAGATACAAATTTACTTTTTTTCTTTCTTGGAGGGGGTACGAGTTCCGCATTTTCTTGGTCATGACCCTCAGATTGTGAGGGTTCTACAGTTCTGTTAGCAACCTCACTGTCAAGTTGTTTCTCTTCACTAGAATTCACGTTTTCCCCCTGCTCCTGTTGTTGACCACTGGAAGCACTTGTTACATCCTCGACTGAAAAATTTGCAACATCGGCACCCAGACAACCTTGACTTTTGTCTGCTACAGAGCCTGTAACGTCCCCATGTGTAACCGTGTCCTTGGGTGACTCACAAGTTTCTCCTGGGTCACCAACTTCTGCTGTTTTTGTGTTCATAACCTGATCCACTTTATCTTTGTCCTCGGATTCCAAAACCCCTCCATCATCCTCTTCCTCCTCTGTTTCCCTGGGAAGGCCTGCCTCCCATTTATCTATGGCATTCTCAAGTAGTTGGAGTGCTGCTTCAGCATTGTTTTCCTCCTCACTGTTACCCTGACTGGCACCTACAGGAAGCTCACTGGATATTCTTCTTGGTTTAGGAACTGGGGGCTGAGACATTTTTGTTGGGGACAGGGGTTGCTGTTCTGTGGCTGAAGTTTGTATTCTGTCAGAGTCTGTCACACATTCTGTTGATGTAGAGGAAATAGTGATTGGTTCATCAGTTGGACTAACTTTCTGCTGGCCCGAGTTCACACTGGATGCTTCTTTACCATTTTGTGCAGCTTCTGGTCTCTTCACTTGGTCGACAATTGAGTCTGGTGATTCTGTAGATTTCTCAGGGATTTTAGTAGGCGCAGACCTTTCTTCAGCAGCTGTGCTTTTCACAACCTCAGCTTGTTTGTGTAGAGAGTGTGTAGATGTGGTCCCATCTGGTTTTGTAGAGATGGCAGTGACAGGTGCAGGTTTTGGATGAGGCTGTGGTTTGACAGCTGCCACTGCAGGCTTCTTGGGTACCTGAGGTTTGGGAGCCAGGGGCGGCCTTCTAGGGGAAACACCTGCAGGAAATCAAGGAAAACATATCAATGATGATTGTCTGTTTACATTACATGGCTCCCAAGTCAATGCAGCATGGATGGTTTTAGGTAGTCATTAGGTAGACTCTTCTTGAAAGCCATTTTAAAACAGATTATGTACATACCTGTATTGTAAACCCTGGAGGTAAGGAGACAGATAACAGAGTTTAACTATGATGTCAACTGACGGCATTTAGCTGATTTTGTGCAGATTCGTCATCTTCCACAAGTCATCGATCTTGAGCAACAGCTATGGTAACATTACTAACAGTCATGACAATATCAATTTATAGACACACCTTTTTAGGCTTGGCTTGCCATGCATTTGTTGCAGGTGATACGAGAAAACAAAAACAACGCTTTCAAGTACAAGCTGTCACAAAGCCTGGAGCTTTTGTTTCCAGCATTCAAAAGCTTTCTCCAAATTGGTAATTCTATCTGGCGAAATGTTGTTAGACATGGTTCACACATTCCTTAAGAGGTCATTCACATTTACTTGCTGAATTTACCTATTTACTTCTGGCAATGAGGCAAAATGTAACTGTATCTTATGACAATCTGAAGCAAGACTACATTTGTAGGTCACCCTACTCAAAGAACCAGCCTTTGCCCAATGGAAATAGAGTGAACATTTGGCAGAAGAGAAACATAAGAAGTGTTGACATGTACATATTCTGGTGTACTAACCACAGTGCTTATTTTTGAAGGGTATGGACTGTGAAGTTATGAAAGGTAACTGGTTTCAATTCGCTACAGGTTAGTTTTGGCTCCGAAACAGGAATCCGTTAATCAGCCTTGGAATCCAGCATATCTGCAGGGCAAATAGAGGCTACTTTGTTTGTCTGTAACTCACTCAACCAAGTCCCCAAAACTATAATAGGGAAACTACTAGTACCATTCATTGTAATGTAGTATAAGTAGAGTGATTTCTAACATCTTGACTTCATTTTTGGGTCTAATTTATCCAGGCTTAATTCCATGTTCGGGATACAAGCTGTTGCCATACATGCACAGATCATAATTGATTTGTCTAATACATATGTGCAAATACATCATATCTCTCCCAAAAGCAAGTATTGATATTCTTGCCTACCAATTTGTGATACAAGTCTTCAAACAGGATGTAAAGCTGAATGAATATTTGATAAGCTATAAAAAGAAATGTCTGTGTTTTATTTGATTACCATATATGTTGAATAAGCATCGCCTCATATCATCCGAGAACCAATACTGTATGAAAATATGATGTTAAACTGAACCATAACACATCTCACACTAAAGCACCAGTCTCATGTGAGCAAGAATGCCCCCCTAGGGGTGTGCTAGTCAGGAAGTCAAGTCCAGCTGGCGTGAGCCCAATATTCAGCCATGATCAAATTCTGTTTCTGAATTTTTTGCAATATTAATACATACAATCAAATTACAATTAAAATAAATTAAATGCCATGGCAAACAGTAGACTTACCAGTATATTGTTTTTTGTAATATCATTCTGAATAGTAATACCTACATACTATACGTCTTATAAGCTTGAGTAGTATACTTACAAAATGACTATGCATGAAAGGTTTGTAAAATCATACATGTAGCTCAGCTATAACAAGAACATTAATTTCAAACAGTACTACTAGTACCAGTACTAACTGAATGTTCTTTGGGGGAGGAGCTACTGTATGAAGTATGAGTGTTGTATGCAGTAAAAACAATTTATGTTTTTGTGTGTCTTCTAACAAAACTGGAATTCCGGATCCTAGGCCTACCCCTGGCATTACATTGGCATGCTAGTGCTATTTCCATGCATAATCAACATTCTAACTTCCGGCTATTGGCGACCTGAGGTGCATGTAGAACCCACTTAATTGTCCTTCATGCGTGATAAGTTAACAAGCTGGCATGACTCATTTTACATGAAGTTACAGACTAGGCAGTACACATCATCAGATTCCTTATAAATAACATATAGTCTGCAAGATAAAAATGTCAACACGTAATAATCACGGAGATAAAGGAAGTATTATTATCTTGAAGAATTGCTCAGTCATACAAACATATGCATGTTTTTCTTGGGGCAGCAGATTAGCTAGGTGAAAGTCTTCTGGTCAGCCAAAATAGGTTTGATTTGCAGAATCAGCTTTCTTTTACACCACTCCTGGGCTGCCCACAATAATTTCCAAGCAGATGTTGAGATAGAAAAATGTAACATTTGACCTTGGGATGCAGACTTGGATCTCTGCAACTTGCAAACTTTCTCTCACTATATTCTTTTCCCAACTGACTGCAATACAGCCAAGACCAATACATGTAATGTTATAACTATAAGAAAACTGTTTGTACATTTGGTTGCTAACTGTATTATTGTAACATACACATGCACATTATGAACAACAAAAATTGACCACAGCTCCACCCCTTTGCGTACACAACGTGGGAAAAACAACAGGTGTTACAAACAACAGGTGATCCTTTGTCGTACCGCAGGTGTCAATAACTCACCTGCACACACCTGATACAGCGTCGTCCGCAGGTGAGGCCTTCAGCTCAGAGCACGAGCAGACGACACAACATTACCTGTCAGTTTAGGGATATCATTTCCATCCAAACTGTCCTCTCTTCCTCGTCCTAGTACTTTGGAATTCGCCTGACCACGGGGGTGCGTTAATAATTCACGGACAAACTACTGTGGAGTGCAAAGTTTATGCCCGGGTATAAATTTGGGGCAGAGACCTTCTACAAATGTTGACAGAAGGCCGGATAAAGGGAAGATGACCACCTGACGAGCTTGGAGGGATATTTAAATCGGGGCAACCCCTGACAGCTGTCAAACAATTCGTACCTCGCCGTTTGGAAGATAAGAAAAGTGACATACACAACAGAAGTCATGACATGGAAAGGGGAGGGGGGCGGACTGACGCTCACCTGAATTCATCTTGGAAACTTTCCAGTTTTTCCTCCCTCCCTCGCCTAGACGGTATTTCTAGAAACCTGTAGAGTCTAAAAAGCAGCTGAGTTGATCCTGGCAAGTCGTAGAGGAAGCTGCCATCGCCTGTAACAGCGGCAGTGGGAAGAGTCGGGGGCTTCTTTGGGCCGCCGTCCGGCTCGGGATATCGCCATTTCCTATCGTCTGATTTGTCCCGTTCGCGTTTCCCTCATGACGTCACCCCTCTCGGTCCCAGGACACTCAGACCGGAAACGGTGCTCGTGACCTTGTCAACTGGTCGTTCGATCAGATAACTATCAAACATCTAGAAATAGGATGTTTGGAATCAGAAAATAGAATGTACTCGGCTAGAATTGATTTAAAATGGTACCGGGCAGAGAATGTTGTGATCTCGCCACCAACATCTGCTTGAATATTTAATACTCGTGACCTTTTCGCCCTTGCGTATGGGACAGGACACTACGGAAGTGAGATACATATTGAAGTATTCACTCACATAAAATGGCACTCTCAACTACTAGTATTAATCTGAATGACTATATAGACGTGTGAAATAACACTCTGTTGTTGAAATAGATTTTTTTTTCAATACTGGTGTTTAATGCTTGACACAGTATCGCACGCACTTGGATAAAGTACATGTGTTTTAGTACTCTCTTGCATGCCTCTTTTCTAGCATTCAAGAGAATAGGTTGGCTCATTGAGTTCAGCTGCATAATGATATTGAAAGGCGCTGGGTATTAAAGTTCCTCTTTTTTTTGCTTTAAATCTTTATTCATGGTGACGGATCAAAGTATAACGTAATGATGACAAGCTAGGAAGTTCCGCTTTTTCGCCTTGTTACAGGAGCTACTGGCTACTAAGAAACCATATGACGCCCACGTGCACGTGATACAAGCAACATACTAGTATTGCATTATCCTGTATATAACTTCAACCTGCAAACAGCAGATTCATGTTTCCAGACGGTGACGTTGAAGTAATAACTTTATGCAGTATTGTACTTTGCCGTTAGGAGACGCTATTTGTTCAGGCCACTGATGAGCTTTTATACAGTAACAGATACTGATCGATAAATCAATCGCTGTGTGTCATACATGTGAAAATATCATCAATTTCGCAATCACTGAGTGGAGTGTGGTGTAGGCTATATTCTATACGTACTTTCCAGTTTCTTAGGTTTAAGGATAACAAATATTGTCATTGATATTTAGGGCTCTTGTGTTTTATTGTTTGCAAATATACATGTAATTTGCATGCTGCATTTCACATAGCTATTGCTTGCCATAATCAACAATCTATATTTACTTCTTGAGATATGACCCACAAAATTAACCTACACACAAAAGATCTGACCATGGTAACCAAAGGAGGACTGTTCCGCATTCTATGTAAATTCGCAGGCTATTGTGATCCGGTGAGTCACCATCACAAGAGGCACCATTGCGTGGGAGTTCTCGATAGTTTCGGTCATGTGTTTTGGCTGAAATTGAAAGCGCTGTAGTTTTTTTCTACTCGTAGAGTACGTACGGTTAACTAAGTTAACCTCCTTGATTGATTGTAGAGTACGGTCCTCCTTCCTGCAATTTAGTAGAAAGAACTATATTTACGCTACATCGTTTCGTCATGAAGGGCTGTCTGTCGGCGCTCTTTGTGTCCCTCTGTGTCGTTTGTGCCAGTGGTAAGTCCGTTTTCATCTTCTCCAATCATGTTGTAAGAACATTATTCAATGCTACTTATATGCATCGTCTTGTCTTTTTATAGTTATCATGAATATATTTTCATTTTAACAATGTCAAGTTGATAATTATTGTGAATAAGAAAACAAACAATGTTGCAGCAGCATGCTGTTTGTTTAGAATGTTAACGTCGTTCTGTACTGTACTTTTTAGGAACTTCGGCGCCGCACACCACAGAAGCCTCGCTCGTGTCCAAGCTGGTAAGCGGAATTCCAACCGACCGCCAGCCAACAGTGCATGTCGGTCATGGTCACAACCTGACAACAGAGACCGCCAGCCTGCCGACGGCGTCCTCTGCCGAGACCACCACCGACAGACCGGTCTCGACGGCGACCAAACCTCCGCTTCAAACCTCCACGTCGAAAACGGGAAGTGCCGACGCGAGTGAACCCGGCAGCGGTCTCGGCGTGGTGAGACACCACAGACCGCTGACGTTGTTCGGCCAGCTCGGATCTCCTCTGGCCTCGGCCCCGCAGACCAGAGACCCGTCATGCCCGCCCGTCAACGGGAGTGAACCGCCACAGCTGGTGACTTCAGACGGGTTCTACAAGAAGGTAGGAAATGATAATACAAATTCACGATAATACACGTTCATCTTTATTGGTCATCAGAGTGCCATTTTTGTACTGCATTGTATGTACCTGATTGAAAGTTCCGCTTTCACGTTAGCTTTGTCGTCGCGCATGAATTAAGTTTTAACAGAGTCCATTTTTCTACCCCTTTCTTTCTATCTCTCTGCCTTCCTCTCTCTCTCTCTCTCTCTCTCTCTTTCTCTTTTTCTCTCTCCCTTTCGCGTGCACTCCTATATATTCTTTCTCCATTTATTTTCTCATCTTTTCCTTCTTTTCTCTCTTTCATTTCCCCCCCTGCAGGTGACCGAAGACCGGATAGAAATCCTGGCCACCGACGTTGCTCTGGACGAGACCAGCGCTCTGTTCGACCCCTGCAAGGACTTCTACCTGGAGACGGTCAGTCTGACCATCAAGGGGCACCTGAGATGGCGGGGGAGGAACGTGTACATCTCGGCTGTGAACCTGACCGTGGCCGGGGACAGCGCGGCTGTGGACGTGTCCTACATTGCTCACGGGCAGCCGGACTGGGACACCCCCGCACAGAGTGGTACCACCCAGGGGCAGGCTGGGCAGGACGGGTGAGTTTAATCTCCAAGCAGATGCTGAAAGAAAGATAGCAATGTCTTCTGAAATGGTTCTGTGACAGAAAACATTAACTAGTCTCATAGACACAAGAAGGTAATACGGAGAAAGACAGACAGGCAGACAGACACATGCATTGTGCTGTTACACGTTTCTTCAAGTCACAGCTATAACATGTTTATACGAGTTATAGTGGTAAACCATGTTTACAGCCATATGATATTCTTGAATTGTGAACCTCAGCCAAACCGGTGGAGCTGGTCAGAGAGCGGGGAACGCGACGCTGTACGTGGGGTTCCTGTTCGGCGGCCGGCTGGAGGTGCTGGCCCGGGGAGGGTCGGGCGGACAGGGACAGGCTGGCGGGGACGGGCACGTGGGAGCCGCGGCACAGCCTAACCAGTAAGTACACTCTGGTTCATAACATTGGCCTAGTATTATAGTGTAGCAAACTCCAGCTCAATTTGGGTCTTTGGCAATCATAACCAAGACGATTGCTCAAAGTGCCTGCCTAGTTAATGTTTTATCGTGGAGCTAGCTATAAAATGACACCTGTTTCTCTTGTAATCATTTTGAGACCTCAAGATTACTGATTGCATCGTTTTGGGAAAAGAGTAGTCGAAAAATTTAAAACATAGAGTAGCAGAATATTCGGACGACTGATGATTCTAATACCGGGACAAAAGGTCACAGAACGCCACATCACACCCATCGCAGGTTGGTTGATTGTCTATGTTGTGTTGTAGGGATCGTGACGCCTGTTGTCACGGGCGCTCCACGGCCGGCACGACTGGCGGGAAGGGAGGGGACGGCGGCAAGCCTGGGCAGTCCGGAGACGGAGGTAAGGGCACGGCAGGAACGTAACAGTAACAGACAGGCACACAAGAAAATTCAATTCGGGGGACGTACAGCTTATCAACACTAGGAAAAACAGTTGCAGTATATTTGACACATCAAGCAAACAGCCCAAAGTATCAGTACGTGACGACAAGTAAACTTGTTCCAACATTTAGCACAAACAGCAGCTACAGTATTTGACTAGAAGATGCTTTGATTATACATTATCTTGTGTCGTTACATTGTCGTCTTCAAAATTTAGCTGTTCTTCACTTATGTGCTTGTAGCGCGTCAATTTGATGCCTTGCAGATTCTTCTTGAAGTCCAGTAAAACATGACTATTTTCTATCAGGCCCTGGAGGTGTCATCACCATCAGGCTGTTGAACAAGACGTGGGAAGATCTGGACATTCACAACCTCCAGACCCTCCAGCTGCCAACAGCTGACGTCAGCGGCGGTCCTGCCGGTCCCCAGGCGGCGGCAGGGAAGCCCGGGCCCGGCGGACCAGGCGGGGGAGGGTCGGGGACACACTGCTACAACGCTGGGCACTGGTACGACCATCACTGGCGCTGTGAGGGACCGTATGCTCCTCCCGGGCCTCAAGGTATATACGTAGCACTGAAACACACTCCGTTGTCATTTCTTCCCCCATTTTGTGGCAATAATATGCATGCACATGAACTTCTTAAGCAGCATGTTCATTCATAATGTAACGAGAAATTTATATTCTGTAGTTATGTAACTACAAAACAATTCAAAACTATGAAATGCAAGGCTTTGAAAGAAACAGACGGACAAAATCAGTGTTGCATCATAATCGGGCATATGTCGATGAGTCAATGAATTTTATTTGTTTGTTTGTTTATGTTGTTTGTTTGTGCTGACCAGGTCCCTCAGGCAACACACCGCCGCCGGCCCCTCCTGGTCATCCGGGGTCTCCAGGACAGGCGTCCGTTGACGTCATCGACTTTGAGGACATCTCAGAGCACATCTCCCCGGAGATGGTACAGATGACGTTTAGACAAGGTGCGCTGTTTCCACTCTTCAACATCATTTTATATTTTGTCGGCCGTAGATTTTGGTTACAGGACATTGAGCTAACCCCTGTTAGAACAGAAGATGTGGGGGTGCGTAGCGGCAGAGTGCTCGACTCGGAACCAAGAGGTCCTGGGTTCGAGTCCTGACATGCCACCGATCTTGTGCCCTTAGGAAATGCACTTTACACGACTTTCCTCCCTTCGCTCAGGTGAAAATGACTCAGTATTGTATTGTCCCCTGTATTGGTGGCGGCATTAATATAAGTTGAAAAAACTTGAGTGTGCCGTCACCACGTCTGTCAAAATGATCTTCTCTGATCGTCCTTTTCCCCCAGGTAACAGGTACTATAAGGAGGGTGACGTGGAGGCGGCCCGGAACGTGTACCTGTGGGTGTACTTCACCATGCAGAACTCCAGCCGGCCCGAGCTGAGGGGACACGCACGGGAAGCCATGATCTACCTCATGCAGATCCAGCACGGTCAGTCAGATGGCTGTATGTTGTCTAGATTTCGACACTTCAACTCTAGCACATCATGCTACTGAAAGGGCCAGTTCTTAGTACTTGCCCGTGGTCCGGCGTTGAAAGAGCAGGAAAATGTCTAGCTCCCCTCGTGCACTTAACTCATACATAAGTTTATATAGATTCTGTAATTTTTTTACGACCAGGTTCAGCTTACGTGATTCGTCCTTCAATACATGTATGATAAAAAAAATAATATCTCTTTCAATCAAACGCATGGAACATTATTATCTCTTATGTAGGACTTGACTTCTGGGCCCACGCGCAGAACAACATCCCGATGAACTCCTACAGCAGCATCTACGCCTACCTGTCCACCGATATCGTGCCTTATGCTATTGGTGAGTTTCAAGGTTAAAATTCAGGAATATCTTTCCTTAGAAAATGACAACAAACTGTAGTAGCTATAGCCCCTTTCGAGGGGCCCGAGGAGACGAAGCAGTGCTTGTGTTCCTGAAGATCGTTCCGTAACCCCGTGGCATTGTTGTATTAAAAGTAACCTTTGCCTCGTTTGTTCCTGTAGATGTGGAGAAAGACTACAACCTGTACTTCGCGGAGGCGACGTCTGAGGAGCAGAAGATGGTTGTAGCCAAGAGCAGCATGGACCACAACAAGTTCACCATCACGGTCCTGGAGAAACAGAAGATGGAGAAACTGGACGAACTCACACAGGTGTTTCTTAACTTATTGTCATTCAAGCAGTGAGATATTATAAGTTCATGAAGACCGTGACATTTTCTACATTTCGTACTGCGTCATCATGTCTACAAAGTACAGGAAACTTTGTCTTAACTGAAGGTTTCTTCTTGTTTGTTTTCTTAAAGATCCAGTCCGAATTGCATGACCTGGAGCAACAGCAGGCTGTGCGGTTGGCGCGTGCGCAGGACGCCACCGCGGAGTGCCAGGACGCCATAGAGGCGGATCTTGTCCACAAGGCCACGGCGATCCACTTCAGCGACATCCTCAAGATCGCAGGGGCCGCCATCAAGATTTATACTTCTATCTACACAGGTTGGGAATCCACGGTTTTATGATAGTACGTAGTTTGAAGTAATGAATTTCCTGTGATGTTTTGAAATTGCACACCTTGTCACATATATTCATCTTATTACACACTGTACAGACTTGAATGATGCTTAAGGAACGATGATATAAACGTTGATATTACACTGATGTGAGGTCTTTATCTAACAGGTGGACTGACCTTGGGAAGTGGCATCAACGACATCATCAGCGCCTTGGAGGCTGGGAAGAAGCTGGAGGGTCTGGACTTCTTAGACCAGCTGAAGGGAGTCAAGACGATCATTAAGAACATCTGGGGCATCTGGGACAAGGATAAGGTAGGAAAAAACTACTTGCACTAACTGTACCATGTCTTGATTCAGATTCCCAATGATTTGACCTGCCTGTGGACATGGTGTTGTCACCTTTTTCATTGTACGTTTTGACATGATTCCATTCGCAAAGGCATGTCATAAGAACCAAGCCAGAGAGAGATCTCAGAAGAATATCTCAAGATAATATCAAAACAATATTGTTCTAACATAATATTGTCTTTTCTTTTTTTTCAGGGCATCATTAAGTCCGACCTGAAGGACATAGAAGAGCAGTACGAGAAGATCAAAGACACGCTGGACCACCAGGGGCAGGAGAACCAGCAGAAGATCGTGGTGGACGGGAAGAAGTTTGACGAACAATTTGACAAGTGGCTGTACCTGGCGCAGTGTCGGGACGCCAAGCCGAGGATCCAGGCTTATCTCAATGTCACACAGTAAGCGGCGTCTGTACATTTGATATGTAAGGCCGGGACAGAATTGATCAAACTGCTACAGATCTTTGGAGGTGTAAATCATGTCCTCAGGCTTTTGATGAGCGACAGTGGCCCTTTAACTCATATTTTGGTCTCTTTCTCCCTGTTAGAGCCATACAAGTACATGTATAAGTTTGTGCATTATTGTGCTGTCTTGCTGACCCACAATGTAACTCGTCTCTCGTTTTTTTTTGTTTACCGAAGGAATACATATTGTTTTTGCTCTGTTCCTTCTTCTTCCGTTCCACTGACCTGGTCAATGACCTGAACCAACAGACCGTCTGTCACCATGGTAACTGGTGTTGGGTTACATAATGTTGCAATTTTATATTAGGAAGGATTTAGACTCCTGTCACCATATATGTGAATGTGTTTGGGTAAGAATTAACAGAGCAGACCATATGAAAAGGTAAACATCATGCATTTGCTTTGCAAATGTTACTTTTCTAATTACAAGTCTTTTTTTCCTCCCGCAGAGCGGTGAATGACAAGCTGGTTCACCACGACGCTGTCGTCATCAAGATCCACAGTCTGGACGCGGAGATTCAGGTTCTCCAGCAGCAGAACGCGCGCCTGCGCAGTGAGACGGCCGCGGTGTTCGACCCGACCATCATCAGTTACGCCATGGCCATCGGCAGGGTGTATGTGCAGCTCAAGGTGGGTCCGGGCTTAGCTGGGAGAGGGGGGGGCGTATTCTTATCATCAGGTCAAGGTTATTTCCAGCTGCCTCGTACATTCTGTGTTGATCCAAAGTACAGAACAACTTTCCTCTTCTCTTTTTGTATTCATGTTTACCGAAGGAAAACATTGTTTTTGCTACGTTTCTTCTTCTTCTGTTCCAAACACTGACCTCTGACCTGGCCAATGACCTGATTTGTTGACGTACATCATGTTGCAATTTTATAGTGGGAGGGATTTATATTCCTGTCTTATTTTGCTCTCTAACTCATTAATGAAGAACACTCAAAGTTCCCCAAAACAACACCATGGAACACTGCTCCCCATATCTGCTTCAGATAGTCGACCCACCATCGTTAAAGCACTTTTCTTCTTTCTCCGTGCAGGATTCTATCGTGGACCAGATGAAGCGGCTGCAGGAGGCGTATAACTACCAGTTCCTGGAGCGGCGGCCCTTCTCGTACGACGACTCGCGCATGGCCATGATCGAGGCCTGGCTGGCCAACAACCGGATATCCATGCTGCAGCGCATGGAGAAGATCGGAAATGACGTACAGGTGAAGACACTTCTACTTATTTTAAAGGCTTTACGGCGATAAAACCTGTTTTATAGCTTCAGTCACTGGGAGCTTCCATTTGGACTTGTTTTACTTTGGTAGTTGCTAACAGTAAGCAATACTAGTACCTCCGGATTGGCGTTCACTTCTACTTAAGAAGTCAGGAAACGTTTCCAACAATGTGGGAGTGAGATGTCTTTTTTTGCCGTTAGGATATTTTGCATCTTCCATAAAGTCATTAAAGTACGAAAATGGGAATTTGTGGACTGTAACGTCTCATTATTTCAGGTGTTCAACGCGGACTCCTCTCCCATGACTAACACCATCGTGCTCCGTCGCCTGGACCTGGCGGACGACTTCGCCCAGTTCGACAACGGCACCGAGCTGCCCTTCGTCATCAGCGGGGCGGAGGACCTCCTCATGCCGATGACTCACGTGCACATGACCGACGTCAAGGCCTGGATCCCCGGCGTCCGCACGGAGGACCGCCACGTGAAAGTGTGGCTCAAACGGTACGATTTTATTTTTTTGGCGTATTACTGCTCACATTACTACGGTAGATTTAGTCATTTCATCATCATCATCTTCGCCGCTGTAGTCATCTATCGACGATGCGGGCCTCCACCGCTCTCCACTGTCTTCTGTCCCGTGCTGTCCTTCGGGCCCCCTCCCAAGTGATACCCATCACTTCTAGGTCTCTCATGGCAGTTTTTTCCCAAGTCATTTGTTCCCCCCCCCCTCCTTCTTTTTCCTTGTGGTACCCAGTTCAGTGCCATCCGAGGGAGGCGTGTTCTTGGCATCCTTGCCACATGACCAAGCCATCTTACTCGCGCCCTGCGTACCAAAGTAGACAGGCTGGGTTGCCCTGTTCTCCTACGTACTTCCTCGTTGGAGATGTGTTGGTGCCACCTAACTATCAGGATTGTTCTTAGCCATTTAGTCATTTAGTCTTACCTGTATTACGTCTATACACCATAAACACTCAATACCGAAATTCCATTAGCAAAATTCCAAGTCAAAATATCATTATAGATGAATGAATTGGTATGATTGTGAACATGGTCCCACAGATACGGCACGTCCTTGGTGTACGACCAGCAGGGCGGGATGTGGACCTTCACACACGCTCCCCGCACCATGCTGTTCCACTACAACACCGGCAGTCTACAGGTGTTGTCTTATTATCATTTTCACAGAAATTACACGCAGTGATGTATACTCAGGCGGTACCGCTTATGCTAGCGACAACACTTGATGGAAAGGAAAAGATAAACACACATGTAATGTGCAGGTTTATGTATAGTAATATGTAGAAACCCGACGGATAAGGTAACGATAAGAGTGCTTACTTAGAATCATGGTGGTGGCTAGAGGCGACAATGGCAAAGATGATAGTGATAATGATAAGATCTGTTATGTTCATAGAAATAAGAACTATAATGATAAGAACGATGATAATAATAATAATAATAATAATAATAATAATAATAATAATTTTGCAGGTGTATTCCAAAGCCGACATCCACCAGGCTAGCAGCGACTACGTCACTCTGAGTCCCATCGGTCCGTGGACGCTGGCGGTGCCGAGGGAGTACAACCCGGGCGTGGACGTCAGCAGGGTGCGGGAGATCCACCTCCAGCTCACCCTCACCTTCCTGCCGTGCGCCCAGCCCGTCTGTCCGCCCCGCACCAGGCAGGTCAACTTCACGGACGCCGGCGCGGGCTCCACCGCCGAGTTCCGCGTCCAGGACACGGCACAAGTCGTCGGCGCGGGCTCGGCTGCCTGGGTTGCGGTGCTTGTAGTGCTTGCTGTGTTGTTCTGTGGGCTGGTTGTAGGGATCGTGTATGTTCGCAAGAGGCGTTCGGGACAGTCTCCCCCGGGCCACAGTGAGACAACACCGCTGACAGCCAACACGGCCGTGTAAGCTGCTGTATCAAACATCGACCATGAAAGCAATGAGCTAGAGCATAATGATATTGCCATTCTGAATATCAAATGCTTGATGAGAGGAAATACTGTTACTGCTAACTTTACCTGAACCAATTTTGCTACTAGCATACGTAAGTACGGTCTATCTGAAAGATTGTTCCGAAAGCTTTTGTTGTTGTGTGTGCTGTATAGAGTTGATTCTAACTTTCTTACAATCACAGGTGAATAAGAACATGCAGTTCTGCTATAAAATTAAGGTCTATTACCCATCGTTGTATTATACACATTGCTAAGTCAAACTTAGCAAAGCCAGATTTAGCTATACTGTGAACTATTTTCTGTTATTTCTGTTTCGCAACTCATCTATCTTTTTAAATTGATTTGTTTTGTACTTCAGCACTCGGGAATGAGTTTTCAATAAACTTGCTGTCATACTGAAAAATGAAAGACACGCCATACTTGATAGTACGTTCCAATATTTAGAGTTGTACAGCGCCAAAACTCCAGTTTGTCTTCCTCCATATATAGTTTATTACTTATCGAACACAGCGGGAACACATGGCGCATCTGTAGTGTGTAAAGGCAAGGTTAACTTTGGGCGGCCCAGTGATGACGTCACCGTGCTCCCAATGGCGCCCACTCGTGTTGTTTTTAAAGAACATCCGACCCTTGTACCCACGGATTGCCTTTATTTGTTTAGCGTGTGTGAAAAATACGTTAATCGCGATGGCCTAGGCTTGGGAAGGTGGTAGCCAAGGCTTCAAAGCTATTTCTGTAACAACATGTTGAACATTTGCTAACACGAAGTCTCTGGCGCTTGACGTTCTCCTACACTGAAATGAGTTCAACGTCCAGATGAGAGTTATTTTGGTCAGGGACTATTTACATGACTTATCGTTGGTGCTGACTGGTTCTCGAAAGATCGACGCTTAGCTCAGTGAACGTTCAGTAAACTAGAGCCACTAACGTACTTGGCGGAGTCGTGGACTATTCAGAAAGTTCAGCTGCTCTTCCAGTCGCGACACACAGACGGCACAGGTGGTTACAAAGAAGCGGTGTCATCCTACCGGGATCTCAGCACAAAGGGTTCAACACACACACAGAATCGGTGAGCTTCATAATCGTCAACGCGGCTTTATAGCCATTTCTGGCAACGGGAGTACGTCCATTTAAGGTAAACTCTATGGCTATGTCTACAGGTTGTCTTTGAAGAACCAGGTATTCGTGCGTGACATGTAAAGTCACGTTAAATCTAGCTTGAGTGTTCTTCCACCCGGTTGTAGTCTACGGGGATTTGGGTGTCTTTATTCGTCAAACCCGGGAAAGGTGAACTGTGAGCTCACCGATATACCATGAAGTTGAACTACAGTGGATTTTAATGATCTATGGGCCGTAGGTCTGAGTATTTGGCACAACGTCAATGAACCCTTGCGTACAGAAGCCATGCCCCACACGAGCTAAAAGCCATAGGTCGCAGACGGTGTTTTTTACTCTGCGTGTTCATCGATATCAGTTTCTCAGACACGTGGCGTTAACGCACGTCCGATAGTCTCTTCGCGTTAAGTACTATCGCCGAAGTGCTCTGAGTACGTCACTACAGCACATTAACCTGTATACTTGGCAATATCGCACGTTCTCAGTCACGAAACGCCAGCGCTGTACCGCACGGTGTGTACCGAGGTTTGGTTATGATCATAGTTTCCTCCCCAGTCTTACCATTTGCAGGTAATTTGTGTGCTTGTTAGTGTGTTTATTGGCGCGTTTGTCTCCAGATTAATAGGGGAATGGAACATAGTATCGCTAGGGGAGTGAGCGGAATGATGCCTCCCCAACGTTAGACTTGATTGGCAAATTTTAGTGAGCATTTCAGTTTTGTACCTGTGCTAGTCTCAGTCACCTGGTAATGTCAAAACGGGCGTAAATAATGCCGTGTATTTGGTAATAGTCAGAAGAGGAATAAGTTAACATCGTTTTGATTAATTGTCAGAGATCCTACAGACGACACAAATTGCTTGGTACAAAAATCTAGTAAAACCCACACTGTTCTCGCCTTTTCCTCCATCTAGCCATCGCCTGAGGAAACATCATGCTGTCTACTCTACTTCTTCTGTTTGTGTCCATCTTCGCCGCACATGCGCAGTGGCAGTGGCCTGGCTGGACCCCACCATGTCCTACAAACTGCGACTGTTCACAAGGTAGGTTTGCAAAACAAACAAACAAACAGACATACAAACAAACAACATCCACTAAAACGTTATCCACTAGATTCTGAAAATCTCACCTCACAAGCAGATGTACATGAACAAGAGTGATTATTTGAGAGACTGACCAGAAATGAATACAGTGTAATATTTTGCCTGTTTTAATTTAATCATCCCCATAGACCTTACCTTAGACCTTAGTTCCTCCTGTGCCTGATGGCACATCGGGCAGCTAGCAAGCTTCCACTTCTTTTTGTCAGCAGCTACTGTCTCTGCCTCCTCTAAGGGGATGTTTGCACTTCTCAGGTCTTCTTGGAAGGTCCTCCGCCATGTATTTTTCGGCATTCCCCTCTTCCTTCTGCCGTTTTTGGGGGACCCAGGTCATCGCTGCCTTAGAGTGTCTTCTGCTGGGTAGACGGAGGATGTGTCCTGCCAACTGCATTCTTAATTTCATCCCCTGTACGATCCTTATCTGAATTACCCTGAGAACTGGAATCCTTCCCATGGCCTTAGGCCCTAATTAACTCCAACAAAACCTTCATGCGGTGGGGAATTGACAGTTGGGGCGAAGGAAGGAATGGTTTACGCATGATAGGTGCTGACTGAATGGTTTCATACTTACAGACGATATCATTGACTGTAAGGAGCGACAACTGACGTCCATCCCGGCCAGACTGGGCGAGGGCATCCATCGTCTGAACACGGACAAGATCCTGCTGCAGAACAACCAGGTACCAACACGTCCCTCATCGAAGCCATTCTTCTTATCACTGTAATATTATGCTGAGATTTTTTTAGAGACATTTCTACAGACAAGAATATCAGCATCTAAAGTAACACTAGTGCTGCGCTAGTATTGGGAACCGTAGAAATACAAACACAGAGAAAGACGGGACAGGCAGAAACAACACTTAACGTCCGGGGGGGGTGAAATATCAACAAAACGTACAGCAGCCAAGTGTGCATTGTTAAATTTGTGTTTAACTCCGCATCGCATTCATTTTCCTGTAGATCACTTCGGTGCAGAGAGACACGTTCGACGGAATCCTGAACTTGAACGAGCTCCATCTGGAACACAACTTCATCACGACCATCGAACCTGGAGCCTTCAGCGGAATCATTAACCTGGGCAAACTCTTCCTCAACGACAACCGCATCGGGAGCCTCGGTCCAGGCACCTTCGGCGGCGTGGTCAACATCAACTCCCTGTTCCTGCAGCAGAACGAGCTGCGAGGCTTCACCCTGGATTCGCTGGACGGCGTGGTTAGTCTGGAGGAGCTGGATCTCGGCAGTAACCAGTTGTCCAGGGTCCCTTCGTGGGGCGGTAAGAATCCGGTAGATTCCTGGCTGCCCTGGCAGAGTCTCCGGGCTCTGCATCTCGACAACAACCCGCTTGAAGCAGTCAGCGATCACGCGCTCGGACTGAGCTTTGGTTTGGAGGAGCTGTACATCCAGAACATGCCGAGGCTGAGGTCTGTCGGTCGGTTCGCCTTCCGCGGGCTGCCTTCCTTGACTGTCCTGCACCTCCACGGTAACCCCTACCTCTCCTCCCTCCCTGACGACCTGTCCCTGCAGCTGACAGAGCTCCACCAGTTCAGCTTGAGAAACAACTCCCTTAGCGCCTTGAGGCCAAGTGTTCTCTCAGGGTTGGACACTCTGTCCTATCTCGATGTCTCTCTGAATCCCTGGCAGTGCGACTGTGGCACGGTCTGGCTCCAGACCTGGTCCCAGCCCACTGCCACTGGCCACAGTGGTTCTCTCATTAACTTGGCTGAAACCACTTGTTCCACCCCTTCTGGTGCCAATGGCCAGCTTCTGCAGGCTGTCAATCTCGCTCAGTTCAGCCAATCAGGACAATGCGGCCCTGCTTCTGCCCCGCCCACCCTACCGCCTGATTACCACACCACCTGCACGAACAACGTGTGCCTCAACAACGGCACCTGCCTGATTGATGCCAAAGGGCCCTACTGTCTCTGCAAGGAGAACTTCTTCGGCGAGTACTGTGAGAGGTGCAACGGGACCACGACTGTCAACCAGGGTTTTACCAACATCGTTGGCATCCAAAGCACCGGGCAGCAGTTTATGATGAAGCCTATAGAGGGATCTGCGGGCCTTGCTCAGACCTTCGTCGGGGGCAACGTCCAGACCTTCACATTCGGTCCGCAGCCAGGTCGAGTCCAGGCAACGGAGGACACTCCGGTCTCTGGCTCGCTGTCTGTGTCTGGCTTTATGGGAGGCTTTCAGTTGATCTGTTTGCTTGTTGCGTCTGTGGTCATGTTGGCGTGAGGTGAGATCACGATTTGACCGACCGGCCGGCCGGCCAGCCAACCGGCCGACCAACATACAGCCTTTGCTTCATGCTTCAGACCAAATACAGAATGGCAGAAATGTAACTATCCATGACAAGTAGTTCTTGGTTTCTTGTTATTTGGTTTCTAACAAAAACAAATGTTGCTCGTGTGATATGTATATCTTATTAAAGTAAACATAGTAATGGCCAATACCTCGTTGCAAATTCACCTGTTTGCAAAATGTAGTGTTATCTCATTCTGTGTATTGTTCTGCAGAAACAATGTGCATTAAAACTACATTGAAGAAAAGCACTGAGTGTTGTAGATCTTATGTTTACAGTGGCAACTCCGTACTCTTTGTAGAATTTCCAACTTCGTCTCTTCAATGATAGCATAGGATGTGACGGCCTCTGATTCGTTGAAAAAAAAACTGAATGGTTGTGTGAAAGGAAACAAAATAAAAGCAGTAGAAAGAACAACTCACTTGCCTTTTTTTACAGAATCCCCTCCCCGTGAAATCCTTTCTGAACCGTCCCTAGTAATAACAAGCATGATTGAAACCAAGCACAGCAGATTACACTTAAACTCTGTAAGTGGCTTAAAAGCTCTGCAATCAGAAGGCCGGATGGGAATGGGGTGAGTTAATAGCATTCATACGCGGCAAATGACCTTACGACACTACTTATATGCCTTCGTCAACAAATTCATATTTGATGCGGTGAAAGCAGAGAGAGAGAGATGTACTGAAAAATAGTTTGTGGACCTAGTATCCATTAGTGTAATTGCTGAATTAGGTGCCCGTGTAATGTTACGCGTAGCCCAGTCTACTTGGCAGCAGCAAGAGGCGGTGAAAAGCAGAAAGTCTTCTAGAGACAAGGCGCCGGACCTGATTCAAGCCGTTTGTTCTCGTTTTGGCTAATATGTAACTAAAAATTTAGTTGCAACTATGGAGCAGCGCCTGTTTGAAGCCGCCGAGAATGATGACATCATCGAGCTGATGGACATTCTGCAATCGGGGTCACTGGAGGGGTCATCACTGGACATCAACTGTCGGAACAACTTCGGACAGTCGGCTCTGGACGTGGCTGTAGACTCCGGGTGTCTATCGGCAGCAGAGGGTCTCCTGAACAGCGGTGCACAGGTGGGGAGCGCCATCTTGTACGCCGTGGACAGGCAGGACCTGGCGGCCGTTCGGATGATTTTAGACAAGAGATCAACTGAGGATGTTACGGGCAGTTTGGCGAAGGAGAATGAGGTAATCATATAATGGACGTCTTTTTTCCCATTTTTTAGATCTAAAAACTGAAGTCTATTTATTTATTTATTTCTGTCTTCTTTATACAGGGTAGACGCACTCAGTACAATATACTGCTTTACAGGCGTGCCCTGTACAGATAGACATAAACACCAACAACAGTAAAACAAAAATAACCAAAAGTAACATATATATATACACAACCGAGCATCAAAATCGATGGATCAGCAAAACTCTTTGCACTTGACGACAAGTTAGGACGCTCATCACAAAGGCAAAGCAACAAGTTACGTGTTACGTTGAGCTAATGTAATATTAAAGTAGAGTATCAGCGATTATGTATTTGGTGATCTGTATGACTTGGCAAGGGTTGACAAGCCAAGGGTCGATACTGAGTATTGTTGCCTGCTGTCATGACAGCGCTATTGGATAAATAACTTGGATCAAAGATGCTGACGAACTGCAGAAATTACAGTCATTCTAAATTACTAGGTTTTAGGGTTACACCAGGTGCATCGTGTCCAGTTTAACACGAGTTCATCAATAATTCACAGGATGAAAAGTTTATCCGAAGAGGGAATTGGCATGGCGATCAGATGTACAAGGGGAAGATTAATATCTATATGGCAGAATTCACTGAGTCTTAAAAAAACTCATTCTTATTTGTATTTACGCTTTCTCAGTGTCATCATAGCTGCATGTTTTCATCCGACATGACCCCTCTTATACTCGCGGCTCACAACAACAACTACCGCATCCTGAAGCTTCTGTTGGACCGAGGCTTCACCCTCCTGGACCCGAGCACCTACTCCTGGGCGTCCGGCGTGAGGCAGTCCAGCGCCTGGCTCAGCACGTACCGGGCCATGAGCAGTCCCTACTACATCCTCCTCACGTCGGACGACCCGTTCTTCACCGCCTTCACCACGGCCAGGACGCTCAGAGACGTCTGCTGGAAGCGGGAGAACTACCGGGGCCGGCTGGAGGAGATGGCGGACCAGTGTGAGACTTTTGCCGCCGAGCTGCTGGACGAAGTCCGGGACTCCGAGGAGCTGGAGGCTGTGCTGGGGTACAGCAGGAGTGATCAGCAGCCCCCATACACAACCTTGGAGATGGCAGTGGACCTCAAGCAGAAGAGGGTAGGGATTCATTGAATCGTCAGAGTCTATAGGGATTAGAAATAGAGCCACCATGGTACAAACGGATGCGACTGCTGTTTTACAGTACCCTTACTGTTGAGTTTTCGAGCTCCGAACTCGGACAGTGATTTCATCCTTTTTATGAAGTTTAGTGACTTAGAAATGCTCCATTTTGGCTGTCCGTAGCTGTTTGCGCAACGCATTAAGCTTGTTAGTGTTCAAATACATCATGATGTCGTTGTCGGTTTTCCCCAGTTCGTGTCGCACCACCTGTGTCAGGAGTACGGGCTGCTGCTGGACCTGCCTGCCGCAGAGTGGGAGTCCTGGTCCCGCATGTACGTCATTCTCTTCAACCTCACGCTGTGTCTGTTCTGCCCCCTGCTGTGTCTGGTTCACATCATCGCACCTAACACTGTGGTAAGAAACTTGTGTTGGTCGCAGCTTAAAAATTAAGCTAGAAAGGTAATATTTGCAAAGCAAATGCATAATGTTTACCATCGCATATGGTCTGCTCTGTTAATTCTTACTCAAACACATTCATATATATGAAGTCTAAATCCCTCCTACTACAAAATTGCAACATGATGTAACCCAACACCAGTTACCATGGTGAGGGACAGCATAGCCTGGTTGGCCAGGTCAGATGTCAGTGTTTGTAACGGAAGATGAAGAGTACTGAGGAAAAACAATATGTTTTCCTTCGGTAAACATAATTATCCAAAACAAGAAACAAAGCAACCCATGCCTATTCTTCAGCGTTAATAAGTTACATTTTATCTTTAAACAATACATTATTCTAAACTTCTTACAGCTAGGCTAAAAGAAAATGCGTCATGCAATGTTTGCCTTATGTTGTCAGGCCGGGAGAATGGCGTCGATCCCGTACATCCGTGACCTGTTCTGGTCGGTGTCTGAGGTGCTGATGCTGGCGGTGGTGAGGTGGGAGGCGGAGTATCAGATCGGGCGGGACGAGATCAACAAGATCGCGCGCGGGGATCCCACTCCGGTTATCATAACTTCGTACCCCCAGATCATCATCATGATCTGGATACTAGGTTAGATTAAGCAGACACTTGTTGATATCATATTATTGCAGAATAGCTTTATAATACATGTTGGTGAATGATGTTGCAATTTAGCTCTCAGTTTCCTACAGAAACAAGTACATTTACAGCTGAGAGAATTTCTGGGTATACACGCCCATGTACTTGATGACTGGAAATGATTCATATCGCGTCACCCAACTCTAGCTAGATCTTTTGTCAATGTTCATCGTTCACCTATCGTCTCAGCCTGTTTTAACTTAGGCCTGCACATGTCCACACACACACAGGGTTGTTGATAGAGGAACTGCAGGAGATCTGGTACCAGGGACTCCGGTACCACTTCACCCGGCTGTGGAACCTGCTGGACTTCGCCATCCTGGCCACCTACATCACACAGCTGGTACTGAGGATCATCGCTTATAGATGGGTACGACGCCTTTATATATGTTTGCCTTATTAAAGTAGACACTGGTCTGTTTCTCTTCCAATTTTGGAAAATGTTAGCTTGATACAGGATAAAAAGTAAACGATTTATTGAAAAAAACCTTTCCTACATGTCACGTATACCGTACCGAGAAATGCTCCTATTCCTATCACCTTTCGACATGTACAATGTCCTGTATGTTCATCAACGTAAGATTGCCATGTTTTATCCCAAATACAGTGGGGTCATTACAGTGAGGCATTTGACTGGCTCGTCATGATCAGGGCCCACCCGGACATCTTCCAGCCCGTGATGATTGCGGAGGGACTGTTCGCCATCTTCGCCGTGCTCGTGGTGCTCCGGGCCATGGGCATCTGCAGCTTGAGCAGGTCAAACATTGTCTGTTGATATTAGACGGACATTTGGTGGATCCAAGCCATCCTCAATAGCATATTGAGTTGAAGCATGGTGATTTTCAAGGTGTTAGTAGTAGAAGTGCAATGAAGCTTCGCTATGGCTTGCGTCTTCAGCAAACACATCGAGTCACCACACCTCTTCACGATGAGCGTATTCTTTCTTGAAGCTCCCCGGAACCATTGGGGCGCCGGTTTTACGTCACCATCCAAAATTACGAATACAACCCTTTACAGCGTACAAAACTTTTAGAATTATTTCGTAGAATTGATTCATTTGAAAACAATTCGTTGTACAGGAACTTAGGAACCCTGCAGATCTCCTTCGGGAGGATGATGTTCGACATCCTGAAGTTCATCACCATCCTGGCGCTGGTGATGTTCGCGTTCAGCTGCGGCTTCCACCGGCTGTACCGGTACTACGGCGCCGTGCACGGCTACATGTGCGACGAGCACGGGCAGAGCCACCTGAAAACCGCCAGCTGTCTCAGGCCACACGGATACGCCACGTGAGTTCCGGCATATTTTGGTGATCCTAATCTTAACACAAATCTACAACATAGTGAATCAGAGGACACAAATCATTCGAAAATGGACAAAATGTTGTAAAGGTCTATCGGTTCAGAGAAGGTCAGCGATCCAGCAAAGGTTAGACACAATAGCGGACAGTGTTGACAGTCTAAGGTTCTTGAATAATCTTTTCTACATTCTTGTTAACAAGGTTGATGATCCCAAATGTAGAAATCTTTCTTTTTTTGGCCCGCCTTGTTTTTTTCCTCCTATCGCATTAAATTTGTAGTCTGAGGAAGATGTCATCCATAAAATTTGCTTGCTGTGGCCTAAGGTAGACATTTACGTTTCCCCTTGCAGACTGCTTGGGACGGCTGAGTCGCTGTTCTGGGCCCTGTTCGGCATGGGGGACCTGACCATGCTGGAACTGACGCCGCGTGCCCATCCGGATCCGAACGTGGTGTTCCAGAACCTGGGCAAGCCGGTCTTCACGGAGACCCTGGGCAAGATCATGTTCGTCATGTACCACGTGATCGCCGTCCTGGTGCTGCTGAACCTGCTGATCGCGATCATGAACGCCTCCTACCAGATCACGGAGGTACTGCACTAGGCTAACGTATCTGTCGTGCAGGTGCTGTACCCGGTGTACTTGAAAATCCTTGTTACTGCCAGCAGAATTCCAGCATCATCCTAAGTTTGCACGTTGAGTACAAAGCTATGGAAAATGAAGTGCAGATGTTTGTCAATGGGGAGCAATTAGGTCGATGCAGCTGCAGTCTGTTTTTCTAGCTATGACTGAGCTTTTTTTTTTGTTTGCACGGCATTTAACTAAACATGCAGTCTGGTATGAAGGGCTACATTTATGAAAATGAGACAATTTGGACGAGGAATCATAGCTAGCCGCCACCATGTTAAGCTGGCAATACATGACAAATGACGTTTACATAGCTATAATCACTACACGATTCTTTCAATGGTGCTGTAAAAACTTCACCCGTAGCTAATAGTCTTGCTCACGAGGCACTCTAGTGTAGTTGTTGTGTGCTTTCGTTCTTAATTCATTAGTTAGATACCAATCATTTATAGGCATCCAATTCGATTTCAGAGCAGCAAAACTGAAAATATTCTGAAGAAGGCAATTTCAATCAATATTACATACTTTGGGTATTTAAAACTGCAGAAACAAGTCCCAATATGAAGCTTTATTTTCTGCGTGGTACCCTATAAATCAGCCCAAGGCCCTTCCAGTAACCATTTTCTGTCAGAGGTTTTGGTACTTTTGCTCCATGAGGGTCAATATACATTGGATAGCGTGATTTTAACTCAGTATGTAGATAAGTGACGTCGACTAGAATATTGACTTTAAAAATCGGGTTTCCAAGTCCTAAAGCCTGCAATGGATGCCTTTAATACAGGACAACAAGGAGGCAGAGTGGACGTACCGGCGGCTGAAGGACATGATGTTCCACCGGAGGGTGGGTCTGACTCTGCCGCCTCCCTACAACCTGCTGGTGCTGGTGAGGGACGTACTGGTGTGGACGTGGCGTCGGGTCTCACACTCACAGAGGCGCGATGTCGGTTCTCATGACAACGAAGAGGTAAAACGGTCACTGCTCAAATGTGACACGTTTGGTCTGTTTTTCATGCCTATTTATCTATTTATTAAAACTCAATCCAGTCCTCCACATTTAACTAAATCAATAACCCACTACCTCAGGCACCTGGCGTAATATTAATAAAGAACGAGAGAAGTTGTTTCATGGTTCCTAGTAGTATAGGCAGCCACCTGTAGATGCTCGATCTGACTTTGGCTATGTGGTTTCTGCAGGAAGATGTACGAACCACGATAATCTCAGAGGAACGGTTCAAGGTGTGTCTATTTTTTGCAAAATGCAAACATTTATAGTAACTCCTTACTACGACCTTTCGGTGTATATGGTGGTGTCGATTCTATATAGTCTTTTCTGTGCAGCTTTTTCCTCGGTGTTGGATGCTAATTTAAGTAGAAAGCAGAACGTTCTATTTGTGTGACTTGACTGGGGTTGAACACGCGACCTGGATGCAGAGCGAGCAATTTCTGCGACAGTTTCACATTCGTATCTTAGAGCTTAATGGCTTATTCCTTTATTCATTGTTGCCCCCCAAACATGCAGATGGTGGCTGAGCGACTGGCAAAGCGGTACATCCTCCGCAGGGAAAGAGAGACGAACCGAACCAATCACAATTGAGGCTATAAGCTAGCATACATGTAGTCCATATATTATGTGGTGTTACTTAATGTAGCTGTGTAGGTCCTTGCACTTTTGTCGCATATATATATAATGTATTCATAACGTTCACTAAAGCCTCGATACGTATGTCTGAATAATTGCAAGAAGTTGTTATATACTTCCAGTAGGTTTGGAATCTCAGATTTTTCGTCTTAAAACGTTACATAAGATGTAAAGAGTAAGCAGTCTCTATTCTGATCAATTAGCAGAAGTACCTGTGAAAAACGGAAAACGGCACCAGGCTTATTGGACTCCCCCACCGTCAGCGTGAGTTATGTAGGCTGTAATTGCCCCCCAGATAAGTAAGAACTTGGCAGCGAAGCACTCAATAAATAATCTCTTTTGAAGTTGCGTAAAGACGAATTTTGTGTTCTGGTGATAGCACTTGGTGTACGTGCGAGACATGTGCAATTTAGACATCCTTTAACATCAAGTAGAGATATTTTGATTTTGAAATTTGAGTCAAATTTGACTTCTAACCACGCCCCGACCACCGTGACCTACTCCCAACCACCAGCCAATCACTCCCCAACCATAGCCCAACCTCCCGTCCACTCCCGAACACTAGCCAACCATGCCGAACCTTCCTCCCAACCTACTCCCAACCATAGTTGGGGAGAGTTCGGCAGTGTTCGGGAGACCATATTCGGTTTACCCATACACTAGAGAATTCTTCATTTACTTGTACATTGACCTTACGATGGTGCTCCGTACCCGATATGGCATGTTTCCTACCGATAATAGTCATTCTCATGTACCGCATGATATATCAGCGTCAGACCGTACCCTCACTCTCATAAGTGGAACAGGGATTACTCCTGATGCTTAATTTAAGGCACCTTCCTACATCACTTCTATAGCCTAGATTGGGATGGCCATATTACCTTTCAGGAAAGCGAGCTCTGTAGTCGTAAAAGTTGAGACTGTCATAAAACTACCGGCGGAGCTGCGTGAATTGGATATGAATAGGGCCCAATCTCCAAGCAGATGATTGGAAGGTAGAGCCATTTTTGTTTGTTTGTTTGTTTTTGTTATAAACGGCAGATGTTAGGAAGGCCGTAAGTGGGCTCTTTCTAATATTTTGGGATATTTTGTAATACTTAATTAGCCGTTACGTGCGGTCAAGAAATGCGTCACTTCTTGTTTTTTCTTGGTCAGTCTTTCCCTCCCGACATCTGCTTGGTTTACGTTTCAAATATTATCAACCCTTTAATTTAAAGTGGAAGATTTTATTACAGTATCAATACGTTGTTTGATGTTTAAACCCATTACGATGTTGTATCCAACCTTCCCTTCTTTAACTCCTTGTAGAAACTTTTGGAACATTTGGAATGTAATTAATACCAACACAGTGTGTGCCAATAGACGCCAGATGCTCAGATTGACCATTATACCAATAACCCAGCTGTTAGGGCTACACTTAATTAAGTTCCATAAATTTCCGTCAAACATAACTAAAAAGAATGGGAAAAAATCGACAGGTGCTTTCTACAGTCATTAAATGTGTTTGGCGCCCTATGTTTGGGACCGCATTGTTTGCAGTAATACCTAGCTTCAGTGCACAGTGAACCAGTCATAATTGCCCTGACAAAGATTAAAGACGGCCATCGAAACACCTGTCGGTATCAGTATAGCCGGTATAACCGCCTTTCGGCGTAACACACCAGCTTCGCAGGCACGCGGTGCGGCGGCAGCTAGCTATATCACACCGAACAACCTGCACCCAATCTTTGCACATTTAAGTGCAGGAGATATTTAAGATTTCTAGTGATGATGCCCTTACTGTGCTTGGTGGCAACGAGTTCCACTCCATGATAGGTCTTGGCAAATGCGAGCTTTTGAACATATATCGGTATCGAAACGTCAGCTGTTGTTAAATAAGTGGTTGTGAATAAAGAACTATTCAGATATTCACCATACTGATGACACTGATTTTCATTCCACTCACAAAAGTCTCATTTTGACCCAATAGAATCTTGATGTAAACCTAAAATTGCTCTCTGCTGCGTGAATTGTCGTTATCGGTAAGTGGACGGGCGGCAAGGTGCAGGATTATTGCGCGGATTAGACTCTGACGTAGCCGAAAGCTCTACTTCCATTTGCAGGTTACCAACCTCTGCCCTTAGTTACGGCGCCAGAAGCAATAAAGTGAACTCATGGTGATAAGAGGTATGAATATCTCGTTAGCGATGTGGTCCAGAATTTTGAGCTGTGTCTCTAGACCTACCATTGCAAAGTTGGTAAAAGTGGGAACATGAAACTTTCTATTTTCCCGTTTCTTTCACGTTGGGTGGTTAGATGTTGGATACCTCGACATATTTTTTAAGATTATGTATTTGTGTTTTAAATGTTGCATTTCTAGTTGTGTGTATTTAGCAATCCGAACGTAAACAGCAATTTTCCACTGACAAACGAACAGTTAACTTATCACGAACTATCCGTGTGTTTGAAAAGAAAAAAAAAACATGACCTGTCCTTGGTGCTGAAAAGTGGGTGCCTCACAGCCAAAGTTGGTTAACAAACTAGTAACACTGACGCTGCATCAGAATTTCGCACGTCACAGACGATATCTTTTCCGACACAACATTTGAAATCTACAGACGGGATATCATCCTTTTAAGCCAAAGTGTTATGCACAATACAATACATAACGGATGTCGCAGGGGCGAAAAATACGTTCTGCCGACGTGTTGGTGTTATCTACACAGGCAGATTGACGCACGCGTGGTGAGATATGAGTCTCTCGCTTACTCCCAGCAAAGATCTGGGACACCGAATCCGTCAACATGTTGTCAACGGCCAGAAACGTGGGGAGACCCCGGGCATATATTCCAACTCTGCGTCTCTAAACTGTGTACGGGATGGATGACTGTGATGATCGATGAAAACTCGATTCAGGCGGTAACAAGAAATCTAAGATTCCAAACCTCGTAGAATAGTGCATGATATATACAATAACTGCTGAAAATTTCAGATATCACGTTAAAAACGCAGCAATGTTACCATTAATGCTTCATAACTAAAAGGATTGGTTGCATTACATTATACATAATACAGGCTTAACTCCCCCTCCTGAGGCATATACTACCATTTATATAAGTTGCAGATTGCTATGTTATCTACAATCAGAAACATCTATGAGAAAATTCACGGCACAACGCAGCCTTAGATATACTTCAGCATAGAAATGATAGACATAAATCGATGTGTATGTTAGCAGAACATTCCCAAAATATACATTCTGGCTTTCAACGCCGGTCATGCCTTCTATCTTTTGGGGTTGCATACGTAAATGCCATATGAAGTCGTGAAATCCCCTTTACACTAAATTACAGGGAATCCCTCAATCTAGTTTGACGCTGTAACCCAAATGCCATCTTGAAATCCCTTCTCTAGTTTATTGTCGGTGAGGCATGTTATTTGATCAACCAGTCTTATGAGTCTCCACGGTTGGTTGTATAGTAGTGTAATGAATCCTGTTTATCCTGCAGTCAGCACACTACACAATCAGGTTATTGTTTCATACACATTTGTCACCATGAAAGAGAAGGTCTACTGCAATTATGTTTATTGTCTCTCCTATGTGTTTGTTTCTATGTGTGGGACACAACACCAGCAACAGCTGCCTGTATCCCACGTGTAATGCAATGTTGCAATTTCAATAAACCAAATCAAATCAAATCATGTTTACGTTGTCTGAAAGTATGTATGCGGGCAGATGTATACTAGTAGTACCTTATAGCTGATTATATGTATTGCTGCAGTGTATGTGCAAGGGTGTGTAGCCCCGTTTTTCTGGACTTTAATCAGAGAGCGTGAAGTATTCGTTCGTAACCGCTATGTCTTTCGTTGCCATACAAACCTACTGCATGTGATTTGTATTCAATTCGTGTGTAAGAGGAGACCTTATGTAACGGCAACATAAAAGGTAATCCCGCTATCCTATATTATCTTGTTCTACGGACAAAAATATAACAAGATTTGTTTCGCAGTAAAGCTCACTCATATTTCGTGTATTTTATTATAGCATAGCTTTTGATGGTGTATTACATGTACACTGATCAGAGTTATACTTAGAGAGCTTGGAAGTTTGTAACTCTACAGTTTGATACTCAATAAAAGAACAAAAGTCACGTTTCCTTGGCTAGTTAGCCAGACCCTTTGTGCTCACAAATTTATCTCAGTAAAATTCCAGTCACATGAAACAGATACGTATATGCAAGTAATTTCTTCTTCTGATCTTACTAGCTGGTGCGTTATGCCGAAGGGTGGTTATACCGGCTATACTGATACAGATACTAGGTACTCGGTGAGAAGAACTTTACCCGAAAATCTCAGCTTTCATTATGTTACAGCCTCCAGTACGGTTCAACAGATCGTCCGTTTACTCTAGTCGAAAATACTTCACAGATAGAGTGTGTATATTCATGTATTCTAAGAACTGCTACGGAATAATATATTTTGGGGTTCTTTTCAGGAAGTTGTGGAAGGCGAGGTGTCGCATTTTTTCTTTATTAATCATACACTCAACAGAATACAGCACCTAGACTAGTGGTGGCACACTCAAGTCACGAACTTATTTTGACACCACCACTAAATAAATACATACATTAAAGAAAATGAACATACACTTCAAAATATGTACAAAATTCATTTTCTTTTTTTTTTCTGCAATGAGTGGGTATTGACAATAATCTACGACGCTACATGTACATCGCTTTTATTCCATACATGTCTCCTTGAAAATTATGCAAAATATATTACCGTGTGCTGAAATGGAAAAGCTTATCTTTCCAAAAGAACTTGGAAACTATATACTCCACGTGGAAGGTCAGAGGTGCCAGGCCTAACCGGTGCTTAACCCAAATGGTCCGCCATGACAGTTATTCATCAAACTTCCCGCCGTTTGAAGGTCACGCTGGAAGGGGAACTAATTTCCCCACGGTCGGGGTCCCCGTGGATAACCTCTGACCTTTCAGCAG